CCGCACCTTTTAGCCGGAATTGTGGGGCCAACTAAGCCTCGTTTGCAGTCGTCCTCAGCGATTTCTGATGTGACGTCACCGGTCAAACTTGTCGGGAGAACTTGGAAAGCGCAAGCTGGCCGGTGGACAAGGCTAGGGCCAACCGGTTACTGACCATAGAGAATTGGGAAATTAAATTAAAAAGGCGCCAGTACGTGCCGTGAATTAACAAAACTTACCTCGGAAAGAGTGTCATTGACCTCTGCGTGCTAACGTCCGCGATCCATGGACACCGGAACTATATCTATGTGTTTATGGAGATGTTTCGAATACAAGTGTATATTGCACGGCAACAGACCAATATCATGAGACAAAATAGAAACGACGGGTCATACAAGGATCAGTGAAATAACTTTAAAATTAAAAATTCTGAATATATAAAAAATATAATATTTTTCATTTTCAAATTTTGTAGCGTAAGCTTCCTTATTATGTCTCACATCCTACCCTAAGTACTATTTCAACTATGCAAGTATAAAGGGAAGGGGGGAGGGGGAGGCTGTTCTATTTCTTCACCTGGTTTTACTCAGTATACACATGGGTATTGCTGGCAACTGGCAAGGTATTGGAAGTCGGGTCCCACACTTGCGAAAAGAGTAGGCTGATTGCTGACGCACACGGCACCTTTGTTCCTCTAGCTCACAACGACAACAGCTTTACAACATTTGTTTGGAGCTACTTACAAAACAGTGTAAGGCCGTGAGTTCTTCGTATGCTTGACTGTTGGGTTCTTATCGCCATTAGACAGTCTACCCATAAATTTACACTGACTTCAGTTAGTATTGGATTATCGCTGAGCTGAGTTGAAACATTTCCCTAAACCTGTGTGGGAAAGTTCCGCATTTGCATGATATAGGTTCCTTGGTTAAAAAAGGGCCCTTAAAAACTTAAGGGTTTTTTAATAACTTCCTCCACCCCCGGGTACTGAAAACCTTAATTATCAAGGGAAGGCATGCATTTCATTTATTTACGATCTTCTTTGTAAACATCACATCTAAAAAAAGTTATTCCCCCGACAAAAAAAATCAAGATTGGTCTATTCCGCCGAATATGCTGAACGAAATGAAAGAAAATGTTAAATTAAGGTACGTTCGGACTATATATACTACGGCACGGAATGAAGCAAAATCTATATTAATTTGTGTTATATTGTGAGTGCTGAGAACTGAGAACTGTACAAATCCTTCTGAACTGCAATGAAGTTCTAGAAAAAAAAGGAGATGAATCAGGAACCAAAGAAAATCTCTTTGACCCTGCTATCATTAGTACAACGGTTTCTTGAATAATAAACAGCTCTAGAGTAAAACTGTTGACGAAGAAAGGGTGAAACGGCAAAGGTCGAGAAGCAACCGGTTTTAATTTGGCCTAAGGGATTAATGTAAATGCCTTAACTGTGATTAGATATCATTGCTGTCGAAAACCCTTTAGGTTTGCTTTTGTTTAGAAGCGAAGTATTAATGGTTGGGGCACATCCAAATCGTCAACTCGTTCGAGCAAGACCAGATATGACTTGAATCAGTACTCAAGGGGTAGCCGGAGTCACATTTTCGCTAAATATGCTAAAAACGTGACTAACAACGGAACACGGATTAAAAAGAACAAAAACATTTATTCATCTTTTCATTTTGTCGAATAGATCGTCAAAAGAATGACCAACAAGAATTTAGTATAGTGCGTCACATTTGACGCTCCAATGGTTTGTAGTTTAAATTATGATTCTTTATTCGTTCATTAGGTTCACGCAGTCAGTTAATGTCAGCGGCTTAGCGTTTGGTCTGACAACGTAACGGTCGGTTTCCTCCAGCTCCTAGTGATAAGAAAATGGCGCCACCAACACGTGAGTTAATTAAGACCCGTTTTCTGACACATACTGCAGGTGACTTGCTAAAGCCATTTCCTTTTCTGTTTCTCTTTCTTTTTTTCTCTTTCATTTTTTCTCTACTTAAATTTATTTACTGTTTTTTTCTTCCTTTTCTTTTCTTTTCACTGCGATGTGATGAAGGTTGAAACTTAGGTTGAAGGTTAAAGCAGTTTGTTGCTAGTTCTCACTTTTGACTGACTGATAGGCAATTTGCTCTAGGAGGTCATGTGACATCGTTTTTATGAAAATGAAAGTTGTATGATTTTGCCTTCGAAGAGCGATTAGTAGGTCATATCAGGAGTTCCTGGTCATATCTATCAAACTAGCACTATTTTCTTAAAATGAGTTGGTAGCTGGTTAAGTGACCGAAATGTGATTAAAAATTTTGAATTACCCATATGCTTTCTGAAAACAAATTTTGCACTTAAACTTCAAGGGAAATGTTGAAAAGATGATGTGGTAAAGTTTACAGCACATCTGAGCGTAACCATCAAACCTTTAACAAGATACAAGCAAAAAGTAGTTTTGGCCGCCATGTTGGAGGGCAAGAGTATGCCCTCCAACATGGCGGCCAATACAAGTCATACTAGTTTGTTGAAAAATCAAAGTGCCATAAAATATCTCCCTTAAATGCGTTTCCTCTCAAATTTCGGGTGCTCTGTCAATTTTGGGCATCAGCAAGATTCCAAGTCCTTGTTTAAAGGAAGCGTTAGTCACGTGACCTCTCAGTGCAAGTGGCCTATTCAGGAGCGAAACTCGCTGTGCGATTTATCTGTGATTTTCTGTTCGAAGAGCGGGCTAACCTGCGAAAAACACCCCCCCCCCCACTGTTAGTTTCAAAGTCCAAGATGGCGGAAGAGCATTAGTACCAAATATCATCGTTCGTCGCCTACTCTAGCAGGTTTGGGGCGGGAAACACAGGAAATTAGCGAGGCGGCGCAGAGCGTTATGGGAACGTAGCCAACCTCGTCCCCAGGGCTTTTTCCTCTGAGTATGAGGTTCGGAAGAGTTTCCAACCTAAGCTATAAGCCAACGGAATAAAGTTTAAATAAACTGGCACTTTTCATATGAAGTGTCTTTGTCCCGGGGGGGGGGGGCACTTGGGTATTTTTTGGGAGGGTATCTGCCGCCCGGGACTCCAAATTGGCACCCGGTTCCAAAAAAGATTTCCCCTAAAATTGATACCCCGTTCTAGAAATGGGCCAATTTTTTATACCCTATTCTAGAATTCGCCCTGAAACTGATACCCCATCCTAGAAATGGGCCAATTTTTTATGCTCCGTTCTAGAAAGTTTGCAAATTGAAATAGCCCTGTTTTTTTAAAAAGATATTTCTTTATTTGTTCGACTTATATATCAAATAAATGCTTCATTACTGAATCAGCAACAATTTTAAGCAGATGATAAAGCCGTGATCCACAATTTTTTATACCCTGTTCTAGAAAACGCCTCTGAAATGGATACCCCATTCTAAATCAGGAGCTTCAAAATCACGACCCCGTTGGGCGGCACATACCCGTATAGGTAATGTGATGATGGGCTCCTGGTAATGTATGGGAGTACCCCCCCCCCCCCCGGGGTCTTTGTCCCGCTATCACAACAGCCCAGCCACCTCGGTAGTGGCTTAGCCGTTGTAATTTAATTTGGCCGAACAACTCAGAATCAAATTTTCGCATGTATTGATCGCCATTTTTCTGCTCGACGGCAGTAAGTGCAATTCAGGACGAATTCTCACAATTCGATGATGTCATTTCTGTATTTGGAGTGTTTCCAAACTCTATCCGCCAGAACAAACAATGTTACCCGTCAACTACCTGCAGCCGGCCTACCAGACAAGCAAATAACGGGAAAAAGATAAAAGTCGCTTCTCAATCAAGGTACGAAAACTGTAGTTTCTGTTGTTACAATGTCGCAGTTCGTTGCATGATATGAACTCTCGCGCATACCTCTCAAAAAGTCGCTTAGAACCGTATCCGTTGCCTTTCTATTTTCACCTGCATAAAAGGTATAGAGAACACCGTTTTCTTTGTTTTGACAATTAACCATGCCGCCTATGAAACTGTAGCTATTTGGTATACATGTATCAAAATGTTTTGGCAGTTGGTGATTGTGATGTAGGAAACCATGCTCAACTGAATTGTTTTCCTTGAAAAGATTCTAGACAAAGAAAAAACAAATTGGTCGATGCTTAATTGTTAAAGATTGTTAACGGCAATGAATATTTCACAAGTTCAGTCCATCTTGTCGAGCGCTCAGGCATGAAAAACTGCATAGAGCTACACCTGAATGTCATTTCGGGACATTTCATTCATCACAAAGTCGTCAGCGCCTGAAAACCTCGCTGCTCTAGCATAAAATGCGTCTGCTCTAAAAATGTGGTATAGATTGGTTTCTTATAATATGAAGATGTTATAATGTTACAAGCATGAAAAAAGAGAAATGTGCCCTTTTATGATTCAGAAGATCTTTTTTTTCCCCAAATTATTATCATTTGACAGCATGTAAAAAAAATTCAGCTGCGAACAAAACTGGAAAGAACGTTTTTTCTGCTCTCTGCGAGCAAACCGATTTTATTATGTAACTGTAATCTTCAGAATTGTCAATCGTAGAATTTCTCTGTTGACATGATGACAGTCTTGTGCTGTATTAATTTAGGGTAGCAAAATTAGCGAAGTGAAACAGGAGTAATTGCAGGAAGTTGTTTGGTCATATATACAATAAATCCTTGAATTTTAAGACCCTTAAGTATATTTTAGAACATTTTTTCCACATTTGAGACCTGCAACATTTTTTGTTGGCTACATTAATAAATAATTATGTTATTCTTGACGATGAAGATTTTTATTATCCGTTACATATTTTTTTCTGTTTAAATCCTTTGTCCTAATACATGCCTTGTGGCTTAACGTTACGGATGGGTGAACTCCGGATGCGGTTTTGCTGCTTGCGTGAGTTCACGCAAAAGAGAAATGCAAAGCGATAATATTCGCGTAATAGCCTTGACAACAAATCGCTAACCAATTAATATTCAACAACACTCAAAGCTCATCTAATGAAATTCATCTAACGTTAATAACGAAGGAACGGAAACCCACCTCGGGACGCGTTTGAACCAAACTCATTCTTCAAGCCGTGAATTTGTGACATGTTTTGCCATAATTATGCTAATTAACTGTATGTTTGCTTGATGGTGCAGTCCTTCGATTTAGAAGAATGGCTGACGAAAACGAGAATTCCACCACTTCAGGTAAGCTAGTTTGATAGAGGTTTTAATTATTAGTTTACTGGCGCAAACTTCATGAGCTGAATTGGTCTTCGTTGGTCAATTCAAGTAAAACTCGCTGAACAAAGTAGTGTCGCAAGATAGTGCCAAGAAAAGAGGCAAATCAAAAACAATCTACAAAGTAAGATTTAATTTCAACAGGAAATCATACTTATTCCCCCAGTTTCTCCAGTTTATTAGCGTACCGATGGTGTATTCAGTTGGGCTAGTCTTATTTGCTTTGATTGGTTAAAGTTTGACAAACTCGATGTCTTCGCTATATGCGCGTGACTTAATGGCAAATACGCTATTTTTAAGTTTCAACGAGCTAAATTGAAAACCTGGTTGGAATTTGCTTTGAATTCTTTACGCTACACGCCACGGTTCAGTCGATACAAACAAAATAAATAGCCGCAGGCACTAATTTGTCAGCCTTAGTCCGATCTTTATTGCTTTATTTTGTTTACTCTAATCCGAGGAATGACCATCTTGTGATAAGAATAAGACCACAAGGCTTGAAAATTGCGCTTAAAAATTTCAGTTTTTAATGCTGGCTTAGACAAATATAGTCAAGATTATAATTAGGTCACGTACAATAACACTTCGGGGTACAAAGTGCAGGACAAACCTCCACTTAATTCTTTGCCAAGTATCATAAAATATTTAGCTTACGTAGCAGGCGTTGGAAAGGGAAGGGACACGGAGTTTTAGGCGCGAGAAAAACGTGAGGGGCTCCCTCGGCCTCGCGCGCCCCTATTCTCTTACGGGCAACCCCCCCCCTTCCTTTTCAAACTTCTGCCACGCTGGCTGTAAAATATTGAGTCTGGAGCACGTACAGTATAGATCGTGTTGCACGAAGACTTACTGTCACGCAATATAGTCGCGCAGCGTGATGTACGCGCCCTCAAACGCATGGTTTCTTTAATTTTGAGTTTTGCGTTAGCCTTTGTTGCGTTAATTAGCGCGAAAGCTTTGACGGAGGAAAGTATAAAATACAATAAACCATAGTGTTAGAGGTTAAGGTGCTCACTTCATCAATAAACTGGCGTGGGTAAATATTATGGAAGGAAACATATAACATGAGTTAATCCATACTGAGTACTATATTTTACACTGTTTACACTACCATGAACAATAATTTCTTTGGAACCTGCCCGCACTGAACACTAGCGAAAAGCCTTTTAGTTTGGCTTTAGAGCACCAGTTTCATCCATATTTTTTTAAAATTAGTTTGTAACACTTGGCGGTTTGATTTGAAAAGAAATGAAAAGACAAAAAAAAACTTGACCATTCTACAAATCATGAAAACAAAAAACGCAGCTGCGATCACGCGGGAGTGTAAGGAAGTGCGAGCAGGTGCTTGGGGCAGATGCGACGTTCGAGTGCGCTCCTGTTTTTATACCTGCTCTGCTTCTAAGGACCGTAACTGCGCGCATATATTGTAGCCTTGAAACTTATAGACCGCCACCCCTACAAAAATAGCCGTTGTTATACGAATGACGCATGTTTAACAATTATTCCTCGAACCCGAATGGGCTCTGAGTCAATAGCTCATGAGGCCGAAGGCCGAATGGGCTATTGACTCAGAGGACGAGAGGAATAATTGTTTTAGTAAAATCCAACTAGTGGGTCAAAAATATCGAGACAAAACAGCTTTAGCTAGCAAAACGCGATTCAGCCGCCATTGTTTTGGTTTTCAGAGCCGGCGCTTTTTGCTACTAGTGGACTATAACTAGTAGTTCAACCAATCAGAACGCAGCATTGATAATAGACCACTAGTTGGATGTTACTAATTCCCGTTATACTGATTATGCCTCGGTGTTGATGCGATAGACGCGCTTACTCTCAGACCGTCTATTAAAAGCTCTATTTTGTTCATTCCACAAGGTCCTTTAACCCATAATCATCCGAACGCGTAACTTCCCTGACGTTAATAATTATACACCAAGACCAGTATAAACGGATCTTTAGTAGTTGATTCGGACAACCTTTCTTCAAAGCACCCATGAGATTAGAGAAATTTTTACTGATTGTTAAAACAGCATGTGGTTGCTTTAATTAATACCCGAAAACAGTTCGTCTGTAAGGATCTCATAGGATACTTGTCGTCAACTTTAAAAAACTGTCTAACGGCCAAGAAGCGCGGAACTTGTGACGCTGTAACGGTATCAAATATTTGGACGCCTCTAAAGAGATTCCTCTATCTCCCCATACAGACGACGCGTTTTATTCGTTTCAGCCAACTTTTCGCCTCAACCCTTAAAGTAATCAAGTTCACTTGCACGAACCTCTGGGAAGGGTTTGTTTTTTATTAGACCACATTTTGACATATCTTTCAGTTCAAGATTGCTGGAAGGCTATGCAACGTGGATCAAAGATGATCAAGTTGGACATTAATAGAAAAGGTTCCTCCAAGAAAACGTTTGTTTTAGATGAGGATATGAAAGGAATTAGATACCAACCTTCTAAAAAGAATTCTAAGTGTAAGTAAATTCCATCCGTGCTTCTTATAACTTGTGAAGACATTCAGAGTCAATCTCAATATTTCAGTAGGAACCAAATCCAACCCCCACCCCCCCCCCCCCACCAACTTCGTATCAGGGAGTACTATGTGAAGTGCCTCTGGTAACCTAGACCAGATGCTAAAATTAATAAAAACATCCACCCTATGCTATACGTTCAAGTTTCAGTTCCCTCCGATCAGTTCTGTGGTAGTTTTAGAACCTTGTTCTAAACCAAAACGTTTCTTAATTCAATACTTTCTTTTAATTCTAAAAATACGTACCCTTTACAGCCGTACTTATTAAATGAAAACCCCCTTCGATTAAGCGCCCCACCTGTTCTTTTCATATGGATTATACCTACTATATTATAACAGAGAGGCAGTTCCGCATTCAGCCTTAGCCTGCGAAAACAGACGTTTCTCCTCGCTCATCGCCGGTGGGGGACGCTTCGCGAGGAGGAACCGCCTCGCGAAATATCGCCAGCGGCGAGGAGCGAGGAGAAACGTCTGTTTTCGCAGGTTACAGTTCAGCCTGCATTCTTCTCTTATATTCCGCCCCTTTGCCCTTCTATTCCCCCGCTTAAGTGCTCCCCAGAACCATACGTGATCAATGTCACTCTTAGTATTATAGGAAACAGTTCCGTAAGGTGTCCTTTGACAAAGATTCCTCAGGGCGTCAGCCTCCCTTCTCGCACCTGAGCGCCCCCATTGACACCTTCTGTGTCGGTGTTTAAGCCCGAAATTTTTTAAAAAATGGAAGATCTACTCTTTATATGTCCACTTGTGGAGCATTAAGGCCATTTTATAGTCCTTCCAAGGTTTTCAAAAAGTAGAAAACGTACTAGGAAGCACTCAGAAGATCGGACGAGGAAAAGTTACGAAAATTGCCCCTACTGAATGAAGCGCTTGAACAGGTTAAGCGCCTTTGAAGTGAACTTCCGTTTCCAATCTACTATAATTCAATCTCAGGGAATCATTAGGGAGCTTTAGAAGCAATCGGGCGTTTTTGAGCGACACACGTTAACAGGAAGTGGCCTTTTTGCATCCTAGGGCAATGGGCTCAAACTCTCGGGTAAATCGTATTTATAAGAAAAAGGACACTAAGTAATACAAATTTGCTATTGTCAAGGCATGCATATAAAGACTAGGAGAAGGTCTCACTTCCTGTTTTCATGCGTCGCTCAGAAACGTCTTTGCTAAGGTCCCAATTATTTCACCCTACATTCCTGTGGTTCAGAGAGAAATTTTCTTCCTTAATCACCTCTAATTGTCCTTTGGTTTTTTTGTGTGTGTTAGTTGCAATTGATAAAATGACAGATGTACTCTCTGGAGAGAGTGTGAGTGACCTTTTTCAAGGATTCTTGAAGAAACACTCTCCCGACAGCTTTATATCCATAAAGTTTGGTCAAAATGGCGGTACAACACTCAATATGGTGGCAGAGTCTAAAGAAGTGGCTGACTTTTGGGTGAGAGGACTGCGGAAACTCATATTGAACAGAGGTTTGTTTATTTCTAACAAACGTTTCTTGAGTATGCTAACAACATACTAACATACGGCGGAGAGAGAGAAAAATGCTCCCCGCCGCGTGTCGCCTTTTCTCGCGTGGGGTGATTTTCACGCGCGCTCACGTTTCGCTCGCTCTACTATCCCTGAGGAAAAATGGGGGACTACTCGTAGCCTGGTTATTGTACATTGTAAGCCTCTTTGACGGCACCACATTTTCGCACCGAAAGTATCCTCCAAATGAGGGACCAATATTTTGTTCTTCGGTTTTCGTTCACGCCGCTTAATTTTCTGGTAATGTAACCCGCCTGGGCACGACCTTTAAAAAAGTCCGTATTTTGTTCCGCAACATTCGGGTCAGGACAAGCTTTTGAGGTAAAATGTTCATGCAGGTTTAAAGATTAGAACGAATTTCAAACACATCAACTTTTTTAATTTTGTTAAGTTACTTATTTATTTATTTATTTGTTTATCTTATTTTTATTTTTCCCGCTATCCAGGTAATTTAGAGAAAGAGGACAAAGAACACAGAGAACAATATCTTTTTATGATTCCCTTGTTGTTATAAATATTTCGTTTATTCGTAGGTTTGCTTTGTAACGCCTTAACATCTGCTGAATCATTTTCTGTAACCTTTGAAGACTCCCTGTACATTTAACACAGCGCTCTTCTTATGTTTTCTTATGAAAACTGTATAGTTGAATTTGCGCGGTATAAATAAATGTTATTATTATTACGTCATCATTAATGTTTTACGATAACTAGAACCACCCGTCTTCCTTTAGAATCAAACAAAGTTAGACAAAAATTTAGGGACTCGTAATCGTGCAGAAATGATAGCACCTCTACCGAAATGGGTATCTTAGAGCGTAAGATAAAGTGGGGGAGGGGGGGGGGGGCGGATAGGGATGATAGAGAGGGGTTTGGAGAGAGGCTCGTGGGTCACGCGTGATATATATCGAAGAACATTACCAAATGTGTGTTGTTGTCTTTGACACTGAATAACGTGGCTTATGGATGCCTTCGAAAAGTTTGACAAGAATAAAGATGGTTCGCTTGGACTGAAAGAAATTCAGAGATTGGTGGAAGCATTGAATGTGAGCATGAGTCCCGGCCAAGTGAAAAAGAAGTTTAAGGTAAGCAAGGAGAAACGGTTTTGCAGTTGCTTATGAATACCCCTGATTTGGTTCATTCCCCTCTTTTGTTGGTTTTACTCGACAGAGGGATAATTGCCTGGGAGTCAAAATGATTTCTGGAAAGAAAATTATATGCCTTTTTTTTGTAACTTTGTAAAAAGGAGATGTTTGCAAACTTAAAGTTCCGTTTCCAGCGGTTAAGAGCCTATTTTTAGTACAAGACAAAAATACAGCTGGCTTGCTTTAAGGCGCATCACTTCACATGATTATTCCTTATGCACTTATACCCAGACCTAAGTCATTCGAACACTGCTCGAAAACCACAGCGATGATCCATTTAACCCCTTTTAATTCCTCAAAAGTTCTGGAGCTTATTTCAATTCAGGATGCGATCTGAACAAGGAGGAGCGCTTAATCAACTTAGGTTGTTCATTCGGAGCTGTTCGGCTAGTGAAGTCTGACTGACTGACCAATCAATACATCGTTAGCATGGCGATTATTTGGTCTTTGTGCTGAGATGCCTAAGGGATTAATTGTTCTTCACGGGAAACTCATGAAACTTAGCTACGGTCCTGAACAAAAGTCATTTGGACGACGATGCAATATTCGCAATTATCTTCGACGTCTGGATGCCCTCATAAAATGGGGCCATCTTTTTCAAAGTACTTCGCAGTTCTCCCTCCTTCCAACTTTTAAAATGTTATACTCAGAAAAATTCTGGATACACTTGTCCAACGTTGTTTTTGAGGTGGGGGAGGGGTTGGGCAGGGGTTGGGCATGTGTGATTTGACAGAAAAAAAAAGACAAATTTGTCCCAAGTCTTTTGCCCGTGATTGTAGGCGGACTGCGTTAGTCTATCGTTCTTTCTACATTCATCCTTTATCGCAAGGCTGGACAACAGACCGGCTAGACTGATTAAGGATGTCAATCCAAAGAAAATCTTATTTTATTAGGAAGTAAATACTGATGGTGACGCAGCACTTGACAAGGACGAGTTTGCATCGTTTTTCAAGTCCATTTCCACAAGAGAAGAAATTGTCAACCTTCTGGAGAAATTTTCATCTAATGGCGCACTCATGACTGCAGAGGACTTTCATTACTTTCTGGTCAACGAGCAAGGGGTAAGTTAGCAGATTGCTGGGCAAACTTTTAGGTAGATTCGGCCTGTAGATTGCTGGTTTTTACGGGTCACAAAGCAAACAGTCATTTCTCCGGACGGTCAGTCGGTCTGTCAGCAAGTCCAAAGGTCAGTTCGTAGTATCTAGTCGTTGGTCCGCGAGGCAGTTGTCGAGCTGTTTGATTCAACAAACGGCGGTTTTACTATGCAACGTTATTCCAATTGTTCTATTTCATTTGATTTGTCTTTTGCTTGGGTTCGCGTATACCTTTTTTACCCATCCGTTAGCCTGCGTAGCTGGAAGGATTGTGGGAGTAATTTCTACGCAAAGAACAGAAAGAAGTGGCGAATCCGTGAGGGATTTTCGCGCGCTCCTTTGAGAACCTACTAGCAAAGTTTAAGAATTTGTTTCTTTCAGATGGAAGACGTTAGCAAGGAATACTCTTTGGAAATGATGTTAAACCATGAACCAACAGAGGCAGGAAGAAAGAATAGAGAATTAGGAATAGATGGTCAGTGCTTTGGTTTTTTTTGCCAAATCTTTGCTCGCTAGAGTGCTTGTGCGGCCTGGGATTGAAAAGCGAGTGCTTGCATATATTCGTTTCAGTTAATAGACAGGCGAGTGGTATCTTCCCTTGTTAACATGCATGTCAGAGTGCAAGTGGATTCCTTTTGTCTCAACCCCTTGTCACCAAACCAGAATGATGCCGTCTCTCTTATCATTAGTGGAAAACAAGTACAAGATTTTTACATCTTATGCCATCTCACTTTTATATAAGAAAAGCGCGACAAAAATCCCTTTTCCTCACCTTGGGAAAGGCAAATTGGTTCGAATTATCGGGAGGTTTCAAACATCGAGTGTAAAATTGCACCGTTTGCTTGGCAAAGAGAAGTTAAGTTTGGCTCGAATCATCGGGAATTTCGAAAAACCGAGGATTAGAGAAATAGAGAATACTTCATGGAAAGTGCTGGCGTACGGTATTTACGCACGAGTTGTTGACGTATCAGAAATCGAACGAGTGAGCGCAGCGAACGAGTAAGATTTCTGATACAAAAACAACGAGTGCGTAAATACCGTACAAAGCACTTTCCATGTGGTATTGTGTTTATTATATACATACTGAGTCATTCATCATTTTGCGGGCCTTTTTATTTTAAATCTTTCAAAAATGCTAAAATTTGCCGCTACACACTTACCGCAAAATGACAACGAAAACGAAGTATCAGCTTTTTAGTAAAAACGTTTGTTAAAAACATAAATGACGGTGAGGATATGAGGTTTAATCCAAGAACTATAAGTAATCTTAACTGTTTGTTCTCAATGCACAATTGAAAATGAGTGAATTTAAGTAAAATGGCCGGTTTCAATATAAGCTTAAGCTTAAATGAAAGGCAAAGTAGCTCCGACAAAAAGCACAACAAAAGCTTACGTCTCGTTCTGTTTATCCCTTTCCGCTGTTGTTTCGCCGGCTCTCTACCGTATTTTTTTATCGACAGTGAAACAAACGAAACTATTCCACTCCATTTCCGAAATGTTTTTCACTTTTTTAGCGAGAAAAACTCCTTGAGTAAAACTTTTCTCGTTGATAAATGTGTGCGAAGCGGCGCTGCAAGCTGCAATAAAAGGCGGGAATTTTGGCGCGAAACTCGCACACCTCTGTGGCTTCTGATTGGACGTATCATTTTTCTCACACGTGAAAAAACATCGTTCGCGATTCTGATTGGACGTATCGTTTTTTTCACGTGTGAAAACCATCGTTCGCTCCTCTGATTGGCTATAACTAATTTGCGTACGAAAATTTACGACATAGCTTTTTGGTGAGTATTTCTCAGTATGTATATAATGGTGATTCCACTATATTTGTCAGTGCAGACTCTTGTAGAGTTAGCTCAAAAACTCTTGTGCGCCTGTTTCTTGTTTTTCGTCCGTTTTAGTTTGATAATGGTAAACATATTCCCTATACATTTTCGTATAACGATTTTAGATTTTTTTTTCATCGCAGGCTTGGCAAACTACCTTAAATCACCCGAAGGAGACATTTTTAACCACGACCACGACAAAATTTATCAAGACATGACTCATCCGTTGACACATTACTACGTAGCCTCATCCCATAACACCTATCTTCTGCAAGACCAACTTCGCGGCCCTTCCAGCGTGGACGCCTACATCAATGCACTGAGGAAGGGATGCCGTTGTGTTGAGCTTGACTGCTGGGATGGTGATAATGATGAGCCCATTGTATACCACGGACACACACTCACATCGAAAATCCTTTTCAAAGATGTCATACAAGGAATCAGTAAACACGCTTTTGAAGTTTCGGAGTAAGTTGTCATTTTGTATGTGTGTATTTTTAGAAACTTTGAGCCTGTGGAAGAACTCTTAGAGCGGCCAAAGTCGGGCATTTATAATTCTTTTCTTCATTCATCTAAATTATAATAAAATTATTTAACAATCAATGAATAAGGCTGAGTATCTAATGAAGAATTATGGAGATCGAGGAGGGTGTTGGCCGAGGCGGATAACACCCTCCGAGATCTCCATAATTCTTCATATGATACGAAAGCCGAATTCAAGAATTGTTTTATTGTTCATTCAAAATAATTCCTAGGTTAAAAACATAGCTAAAACAAGCTTCCTCCATCGATTTGAAGTTGATCTTCGATAGTTTACGTTTAGGTTTGTCCAGCTCCGCAAATATTCTCCAAATTGCAGATGTCGCCCTCCGAGTTGTCTTCTTGTTGTTTTTGCTATGTTTTTAGCCATTATTTCGCCTAGTTCCAGCTGTAGTTATTACTCTTGAAACGAGTGAAGTGTCCGCCATTATCTAATTTTAGTTTTTACAGCGAAAACAACTCAATCTCGTCCCCAGGTCTTCCCGGTTAACGATGCGTAGAAGGCTGCATTTTTGACGTCATTTCCTCGTTAAACACAAAATTCTTCCAAATTTGGTCATCAGTAAGTGGTTATGGTGAATTATGCGTGTACCTTTAGCCAATCAGAATTGGGTAAATATTTTGAATGAATAATAATATTAATTATTATTAAGTCTCACGCTTATATGTTCACACTAAAATGTGATAGCTTTTTCTCATTTTCGAAAACCGTATCGGAGAGGTATTTTGCTCACCAATGAATTCTTCTTCTTCTTCTTCAATTTCTTGGCTCCATCTATAAAGATGATTCTTCATTCATTTCGTCCTTACGCATGCTTCTAGCGGAAGACCTGGTAACACCGCGGCGCACTGAACCGTTACCTCTACTTCCCGTACTGCAATAAGCGAGGTCACAATAGTGTGTGCAACCCTGGGGCCGTTTTGTAACGTGGCTGTTCACATTTTATCAGATCGATGTCTACGCCGCCAAAAAAACTGTTCCGGCCTCAGTGTTTGGTTATTTTATCGCCTGTCCGGGTATCCAGTAAAAGACTTCTTCTCGTTTTTGATATGCTACTTTTCGGTGTTTAGGTATAAGATAAAACACTCCCTCTCGGGTTTGGTATGTTAGTTATCGGTGTCTGGGTATCAGATGAAATACTCCTTCTCTTGTTTGATAAGTTACTTATTGGTGCCTGCATATCTGATGAAACACTCCATCAGGTGAAGAGCAATTGTAACACTCAGATTTTCACTGTTTTGTAGGTATCCAGTTATTCTTTCCCTGGAGAACCACTGCAGCCTCCCAAATCAAAAGAAAATGGCAGAATATCTCGAAGCAATTTTGGGCGGTATCCTTTGTCGACTTACAATATGTTGTACGCTTAATCATTTCATTCATATAGATTTTTAAGTAAGTAAATCACTAATAAAAAAAGAATAGAAATAATCTGGATAATCTAAAAGCGGTGTTAGGCGAGTGTATAGTAAGCAGGTGAAGAACGAGTCTATACCAGTAGCACAGCAAGCACCCTCGAAAGATTGAATATATAAAATATTAACTATGAGGTCAATATTATAGGGAATAATTATAACTTAGCCCCAGGACCCCACGCCGTTTCGTCCGCTGGGTGTTGACTGAATTCTTCTTGTAATCTGATCATTCGTCTCGCTGAGTCAGTCGATTGCTGTTTTCACACCCTCCCTACCGCCCTCGGGGCTTCCGTTGAGTCCTCAGGGTCTCAGTTCCTTCATTAAAGACGCCCAAGCAGATTCACTGGCTTGTTGTTTGCTGTGGTGCGCGGGGAACACGAGGGATAATTAATCAGATAAATAGAAGTTATATGCCGAATGAATGTGTAAACGAAAAGTTTGATTGATTAAAAAGAAGGCAGGATGTTGTTCCTTGATTCAGATATCGCCTAGATGTGTTGTACAAAGTGCCTGTAGATGCCCAGTTTGATTCTTTCCCATCTCCAGAATTCTTCAAGAACAGGATTCTTATTAAGGTACTGCATGCATTGCATTTTTTCTTGATTCCAAACCAAACACTCGTACAAGTACGTCTTTGTCTTTTGACTCTGGTTTGTGTTGTTAACAATTGACATTTTTCTTTTTAGTTTCGTCAAATGAAGATAGCGCAGGGCCTTTACAGTTGTCTCCGTGGCAACAAGTTGAACTCAGTCACAGCCCACCAGGGTAGTTTTCCTGACAGGCGCCCGGGTGGATGTCACGCATCGCTCCCCGTGCCTAAGCGGCTGCTTCAAAGTAAAGTTTTGCGTCTCGATGCCTTTTGCATCAGTGTGTTCTTTTTGTTTATTTGGCTTTCGCGGGGAAAACCCTGACTCCTCCTTTAACTGGCGAGGGAAAGGAAATCGTAACGTGACGTCGACCGAAGCTGTGGCTGTGCCACAGTGGTGGAATTGATCACCCTCGATTGATTCGACCTGATAGTTGTTCTCGCCGTTTCTTGCCTTGATTTCTAATGTAGGGTTTTATCACACAGGGCAAGAAATTAAAACTTGAACACGAGGCTGATGACGAAGACGTCGGTGATGTAACGGACGAGGACGAGGCTGCTGATATCGATCAGGAGGCTGCAGCCTCTCTACTGCAGGAAAAGAGTGCCGAGGGCGGAGATGGACCCTCCACTACTGCGCCAACTACCACTGATACCCCGCCAGTGAAAAAGAAAGAGAAGAAGCCCAAGAAGGTAATAGTAGAGCAAATGTAGGGCTTGACATTAAGTATATTTCTTCGTTATAATCTCACCGATTTCCCAACTGGATAGGAAATCGCAAAGCTGGCTCAAAGTTTTGATTATTCCAAGCTACCGTGTCAGCCTCCCTAACTACCAAATGATGTGCGTCATGATCATGAATATGATAAAAATTCAAGCATTGACTTTTTTCCTCAGTAACTTGCTTTTTGCACGCAAGGGCAATATTCACCTCAGGGATTAACTCATAGACCAATCACGCGTAAGCATAGAACTAATCAAATTCCTGGCGTTTTAAGCCTTATTATGCAAGCATTATTTCTTTAATTTGCTCTGATGAAGGGCTACTTCTCGAAACTTCCGCTTTTAAATCATTTCATGGTGGAAGATTGACTTTCTCAACTCATTTAATAAATAAAGGCGAAAAGGTTGCACAGGAATTTTAACATAAACAGAGTTATTGAACGGAATATAAATTATTTTACTTTTCCCGTATCTGAGTTTGTAAATTGTAACACTGACACTTGACTAACTTTTTTTCAATACTAACCCTTAAAACCAAGTACTTCAGACTAACACTTGTTTGCATATATAATTATTATTATTCATTCAAAATATTTCTCCGTTTGTGATTGGCTAAAATCACACGCATAATCCATCATAACCAGCTACTGTCGACCAAATTTGGAAGACTTTTGCCACATGTGAAAAATGACGTCAATTGTGCAGTATGATTGCCAGAAAACTGAACAGTTAACCGAGAAGACCTGGGGACGAGGTTGAGTTGTTTTGGTAGTAAGTACAAAAGGCGGAACATTTCACTCATTTCACGAGGAAGAAATAGACGAACTATTGGCTAAAAACATATAAAGGACAGCAAGAAGACAACTCGACGGGCAACATCTGCTATTTGGAGAATATTTGCAGTACTAAACGACCCTTTATCTCCTAAACTTGCCAATAAACAGGCAATTGAAGATTAGCTTAACATCGATACAGGCTAGAACTAGGAATTATTTTGAATGAATAATAAAATGATTATTGAATTCGGCTCTCGTAACATCTAAAGAATCATGGAGATCTCGGAGGATGTTATCCGCCTCGCTCACCTTGATCTTCATAATTCGTCAGATGATACTCAGCCTCATCCAATAATTGTTAAATATCTTGATATTAAAACTCTAAACCTTGTTAATGACTCCTTTTTACTTCTAAACTTTAATATAAGCTGCTTTAAACTTTCCGATAACAATGGATCTAGCTAAGGGGCTTTTGGGGTCTGCCTCACTCCCCCAGCCCATCCTTTAAGCACCCCTCGTATCTTAAGGTATAAATGAGCGAGTCCCAAACATACCTGAAGATCTGAATCCGCCATTGCATAAACTCGACGAGTTTCTTTTTGCTATTGAGTGTTTTATTTTTTGCCATTTTAGTCCATTTTATTGTTGTATGTATTTGTTAGGAAACTCTGCGCCGATCTTTTCGTGCCGTTGGTAAAGTGGTGCGTACCGCCGGTAGATTAAAAGATGAAACAGATGTAAGTCAACATAAATTTTTTAAACATTTGTAAATTTATTTAAAAAAGAAAACTAAATTTTAAAATAATTTGTTCCACATCTAAACTTATAAAATGTAAATGTTTGCGTTCAACCAGGATTAACGCCTGAAGACACTTAAACTGCATTAAACTGCATGTTAAGATACACGAGAGTTTATTGTTAGCCGATTGAGTGCTAATACATGGGTTAACATAATACATAAACTTAGGAAATTCTAAAAGCGGAACTTCCGCTCAAGACTAACCTTCTATTTGAAACAATAATATTTAAATCAATAGGAGAAAAATAGAATTGTCCTTAACATTAATCTTTTTTGTACTTTAAGACTTTGTGCGAGGGAAAACAGACTGTTTACTTCAAATTATAAGCACAATAATATGCTTAAATTATAATATCATGACCACCAAAGTTAATCAATTCGAAGTTGAAATTGCGTTGAAAAAAAAAATGTGGAATTTGAGTGAAAAACAAACTAGTGGGAGATGTAAAATTACAAACTTTCTCAATTAATAAACCGTGAGCTGCGTTGTACAATTCAGGAGACAGTCGCCACCACCCATATGATCAAAACGAGTGACCGATAAATAGGCTTAGAAAAAACACTCAACAACTGGAAAAAAAGAAAGCTAACTTTAATTGGCAGAATCAATATTGTGAAGACGTTAGGTTTGTCGAAACTCATATATTGCAGTTCGTTACTGACCGTATCTAAATCCCTTATAGACAGAATTAATAAGATTATTTTCGGCTTCATTTGGGAGGGTAAGCCTCCCAAAATTAAGAAAAAGACTATCATTGGTGAAAAACACTGTGGGGGCCTAAAAATGATTGATTTTGAAATCATGGAGCGGTCGCTAAAGATTGCTTGGATAAAGCGTATTGCTGAATCAAGTAATGCTTCGTGGAAAAAAATCCCAAATCAAGCTCTTAACCAATACGGAGGTCTAGAGTTCCTCATCGAATGCGACTACGATCCTAAGCTACTCAACTTAGAGAACCTTCCGGAGTTTTACCACACCATTTTAAATTACTGGCATGACTTCAGAAGACTAACCTGTGACAAGCAAATTTCCATAAAAAAAAACAAATAATTTGGAATAACCGTAACATATGTATTGATGGAAAACCAATTTATATTAAATCCTGGTGTACAAGTGGAATTCGTTGCATCGAAGACCTTCTAAATGTTAACCTTAAATTTCTTACCTTATCAGAAATGAAAGAGAAATATAACTTTGAATTTCCTTTTACCACTTATTACGGCCTTTTAAGAGCCATACCAACTGAATGGAAAAGTGCACTACGAGTCAAAGCAGGCGTGCATGATGAATCTGAAAAGCGCGAAACATCCTTGAAGCTTTTTTCCACAAAAGAAGCCTATTCTTCCATACTTGATAAAAGCTTCTCAGCACCCACTGCTGAAGGCAGAATTCTAGATCATGGGTTCACCAAAGAGGAAATTCCTTACATCTACATGCTCCCGTTTAAAATCTTGAAAGAACCAAAACTGATCATGTTCCAAGTCAAAATTATTCACAACATTTTACCTACCCAATCTAGCCTCTTCCGCGCGCATAACTGATACTGATGTTTGTCCTTTATCCAACCTTGAAAGTCAATCTCTAAAACATATGTTAATTACCTGTAGTGTATCCTCTTCGTTTTGGACTTGTTTTTCTAACTGGTGGCACGAAAAATTTAAACACAAACTGACTTTATCTGAAAGCACTATTCTATATGGTTGGCACAAAGAGTCAAATAACTGGGAAGTGCTTAATTACTGTTTGATTGTCGCCAAATATAATGTTTTTGCTACAAGCGTACGCAACGGCGTCCTGGACTTTGACAGTTTTCTACTGCGTCTCAACAACAAAATTGATATTCTTCGCACAATAGCTTTTAGATCTAACTGCTTATCGCAATTCAAAAAAACATGGGACAAACTTCTTTAGATACGTGAATGCTAGTGTCATTTCCTTCAAGCTACACTTTACTGCTACACTGTTTCACTTACCAGGTTTGCGTCTTTTTCCTTTGAATTTAGTTTGTTTGTTTGTTTTTTTTCGTTACAAATTTAGTTTGTTTTTTGCCATATAGATATATACATTTTCATAGTTAAAATAACAAGTATTTGTAAGTAATTTTTTTTCTTGTCAATAAAAAAAAAAAAAAAAAAAAAAAAACATCAGAAGGAGGTTGTTTTAAAAATCTCGTAACACCAAATCAAAAACAAATGACAGAATGGGCAGATAAAGGAAAGTTGCGCGCCTTATGTTTAAACTCAAGGCGACACTAGCCAAGTCCTAAGCCAACATTAACACTTACTTCTCACTTAGGGCAAAATGTTGGCTTAGGGGAGGGGTAGGTGGGCAGTTTCCCGGAAACGTTTAATTATCCGTTATAAGTAAGTAGACCCTTAAGTATTAAAATAAAATCTCTTAAAAGTTTGGAAGTATATTAATTGCTTTTTACTTTCTAATATTTGGTCACACTTGGAGCAGGGTTAAACAGGTAATACAATGTAAAGAAAATACATTATCAAATCAAAGACTCTAGTAATGAACAGTAAAAATTGATAATATTAACTTTTCAAGGGTGACACTTACAATTACTGATGACCTAATGGCTAACATCGTGGCCCACACGTGAATAGAAGAAACAAATAGTCCAAATTGAGTATAACAATTGCAAGAATCGCAGCTGGCGGGAGGCAAACCAGTCGTTTGTTTTCAGCTTTACTTACTTACTAAGGAAGGCTGTTCCACAAGACTGAGGCTGCTACCATTAACGATCGATCCCCCATAATCTTTTTCGTTTTGAATCGCGGATATTCTCGCAATATACCATTATTGTTTCGACGCAATTGGTAATGTGGAGCAGGCAAGACTGAAACTAAATTCTTATTCTAAATTATCATACTCTCTAATAATCCACTTTATTTTCTTGGTTTATTCGTCGTAACGCATTTATCATTTGGGACCACTGTGACTTCTTTTTTCGGTGCTCTTCTGTATCATGCTTTGTAAGTAGTATTATATGGACCGAATTATCCTTTTTTGAGGTAAACAAACGTGGATCTTGTCCATGGGATTCCATGTATTATGAGAAGTGATCTTGTACTTTTAGCTGGGCGAAATGGTGATTAGTGCCACATGTGTTTGCCGACAGGAATCCGAAATCCTCATTGTTCCTTATTTCTAACTGTCATTCTTATCCTAATAGGAGGAAAAGAATGCGAAGAAAACCAACAAGCTTAAATTGGCAAAAGAGCTTTCCCGCTGTGTAAACTATGTTTCCAGTGTTGGTTTCAAAGGATTTGAACACGCAAAGCAAAACTGTAAGTGGACAGAGAACAAAGCTTATGTGATTGACACGTTCGGAGACAAATTAGGCATGCGCAGTAGTAGGGAACAAATCGAGCGCGGGCAATCTCGTTCCCAGAGGCCGCGATCCTTTTGTACAGCGACGGAGATCACTGTACAAACGTAACGGAGGCTCTGGGGGAGAGATTGGAGCGCGGGTCGAGACCTGCTATTTTATTACACAACTTAGAAGAGATTAAATCAAATGGCTGTTCACACGTTCACGTATGTTAGTTGAACCAAATCAAAAAAAAATAATAAATGATAATTGAAAGTACGTCAAACCTAGCCTCCCCCGCAGACATTCTTAGGCGTGCGTGGGGAAGGAACGCGTGACGCACGCCTAAGAATGCGTGCTCGGGAGGCTACGTCAAACCAGTCTCTATGCGAAACAAAGACAAAGCAGCTCTAGTAAGTTGTACAAAAACAAACTCAGTAGAGTTAGTGTGAACCGAGAGCTTCTTAGGCACATTAGATGCAGACGTGCGTGTTAAACGTGTATTGGTAGGTTTTGTACTTAATAAACCCTTCAAAAAGGATGCGTTATAGTGACCGAAACCAAAATCACGCGTTAGACGTGCTTAGTTGGGTTTTGTACTTTATGCTCAGTAGCTGAAACTGAAAGATATTCTAGTTAAATAAAGAAACCCTTCGAAGAGGATGCCTTACAGCAAGAAAAGGAAACCAAAATCACAGACCTCTAAAACAGTTAATAGGAAATATGGACTGGAATTAAATGCCGACGCCGTCAAAAATACTGTTGTATAGAAAACCAAATAACTGAAAAGACACATAGCTTGAGATTGACACTTATCACTTTTCAAAAGTAATACAACTAGAAGTGTGAAGCAACCTAATTTTTATGCGTGGACTATTTCACTTTTAAAACAGACAAATTTCATCAGATGTCTTCCTTCGTGGAGTCAAAGATGGCCAGCCTGATGACAAATTCAGGACGTGATTTTGTGGAATATAATAAGAGGCAATTAAGCCGAATTTACCCAGCTGGTGGGAGAGTGGACTCCAGCAATTATAACCCTCAACAAGCTTGGAATGCGGGCTGTCAGATAGGTATGCGATGAACAGACGAAACGTATTCTTTTTTGTATTTTTATAGTCTGTAACCTCTGTATACACGTTTCCGCGTCTATTGTTATTCTCTACCAGTCTTATTTTTTCTTTATTTCTGTATTTTTTAAAATATTTTAACAGTTTATTCCACTTTTCGTTAGCTTTTCTAGCCCCTGATGAAGGTTATATTGAATTTTTCCAAACAGAAATATTGGGCAAATAGATTACCCATTCATAGCTGTCTGATATCATTATAAAATACATTTGATGCCGGGAAACATAATTTTTTAGGTTAACTCCATGTATTCCGGCTTTTTCTGGAATACGGTCAACGGTCATTTGAACGGGCCTTTAACTACATTGTTCATTTTTTTTTTGTCGTTTTTCTGTTCTCCGTAGTTGCTCTTAATTACCAAACGGATTCGGAACCCATGCATCTGAACCAAGGGAAATTCAGAGTTAATGGACGCGCAGGATATATCTTGAAACCAAAACACCTCAGAGACCGTAAGTACTTTAAAAACATTAGTTTAGTGCAAATCAGTAAAATGCGCTGGAATTAAACATCATTCATCAGTGGGTGATTTGTATACTTTTGATTGACTCTGTAGCTTCATTCAACTTTAACCCTCATACAAAGACCGAGATTCCAGGAATAGAGAAGATAAAGATAGTTATAAAGGTAAATTCGTTATGTCTCTCAACTGTTGGGCACTTACACAGCTTCTTTTTTCGTAGTGAAGGAGCGCTCTTTCTGCCTGGCTTTAGTATTGTATATGTGTAAAATTGTGTCTTTTTTATGTGTTATTTTGTGTTTTTGCTTTTCGCCTCGATTATCTATAAACCCTCTTGTGAGGTAGCCTCCGAACTGCAGACGTATTTCCGGTCGTCGACCGCTTTTCTCCCTCCGAAAATATCTTGTTTTACTTTCCGGAGGGAGAGATCGACGACCAGAGATAAGGTCTGTAGTTCGCAGGCTACTCGCGGGAAGAAAACATCACTTTGTTCTAAAACATTTAATCACTTCTAAAAATGAAATTACTGGTTTTATTTTTGGTTGTACATACCACGTATTGAGAAGCAAGTTGTAAAGCCGCAAACCACAAGAAATGAGTGCGTACATAGGCTAAGACATAGCAGTTTGCTTCTTCTTTTAATTGCCTCCATCGTCTACGTGTTGCAAGGCGCCTCTAAGGAAAATGATGGGTTTGCCGCAGTCTATACTTCAACAGGCTTTCTTCACGATTCAGATATCTCGTATGTGTTTGAAAGGACAAATATGCGGCCTGTAGCTTGAGGTAATGGGTAGAGACAATTATCGTGGTTTTAAAGTGTATGTGTTGAAAACCCCAAATGAATAACGTAGTTTTACGAAATTATTGTCATTTACCTGAAATCGTTGAATTTGATTGTTAGGATATCATTATTTTAGTATGACGTCATTTCCGTATATGGAAAAATGTTCTTTTTCATGAATACTGTGGCAGTTCCTCACTTTTGTGTGCGATCGTGTAGACATGCCGCGTGTTTCTCTATATTTCATCTTGAATATATTCGCAGGTCATTTCTGGTCAGCAACTTCCAAAGCCTGCGGGAACTAAAGGAGAGGCGAAGGTCAAAGGAGAAGTATGTAAAGAAGATATATAGAAGAATAAATAGTCTGTCTTTCTATGCCGCTATTCCATGGTAGTAGGGACTTTTACCATGTAGAAGGCATGTCGGCGTAATTTGGGCGGCAAGGAGAGACTTATCCCGTACCCACTGATTTCACACCTGTAACCGTGAGAGATTTGGATACTTTCTTCTTATTTCTTCTGCATAGCATTTCGAACCATTGCTACCTATTTCGTCCTTCTCCTTTCCTCACGCTAGCTTTTTTCTTCCGAATTTTCTTCTTTCTTTACTGCAAATTATCACTAACGGTTAATGTTTCTTTTTTTGACCCTGTTTATTCACGTAGGCTTTTCGCTTTTTTCTCTCGGGTTCGTTCGTCCTACCTACAGTACTCCACCACCCTCACCCTTTTCCTTGCTTCATTGACGTTTTTCCCTGTTTTGCCTTTCAGGTTATTGATCCGTATGTTAAGGTTGATTTTCATGGTATACCAGCAGATACTGCCAGCTTTAAAACAAAAGTCGTCAAAGATAATGGTGAGCAGATTCAATTGATAGCGCATGGATACACCGTTCATAGAACTTGTACTCTTTACTCTTACTCTCGAGGTGTACCTATTTCGCAAATGTAAGGTATTCATTGTCTATTGTAATATACTTTCACATTCTACGCTAGGATGTCTTAAGTTGATTTCCACTTGTTGCTGTTTTGTTTTTATGTAGGTTTTAACCCAATGTGGAAGGAAACATTTGAAAAAGAGCTTCTTATGCCAGAACTCGCTATGATTAGGTTTGTGGTTTTTGACGAAGACGTTGGTTCTCGTGACGACTTCATAGGACAATTCTCGTTACCCTTTACCAGCGTTAGACCGGGTATGTTACTCTACCTATCGTTGTTGTCTTGCTTAAAATACTGAAGGTCTAATGGTATCAAGTCTTATGATATTAGGGAGCTTAAGCAACAACGACGGCGGCGGCGGCGGCTGCGAAAACGTCACTTAAAACTGAAGTGAATTCGCGCTACTTTAAACTTTATCGGGCTTATTCCACCTCATTCAATTCGTCAAATGTTGGCGAATTTTTCTGGAGTTGAATTCTAAAGGACTGTATCGAAGTTCAGGAAAAACAAAGTCGTTGTCTTGGTTCACGTCTTCCAGAAAACGTGGAATTAGGCAGTTTCACGTAGTGGTGGTGCAACGACGGCAAGCTGGAAAGTACAAAAAAGTGTGAGTGTTGTTTTTTTGCTGACATAAACCTGTTGCTTCTTTTTTTGCCGTTCTCGTTGCCGTCGCCGTCGTCGTTGCTTAATTAAGTTCCCTATTATCAGGGTAATACGGTGGATTCAAAACCCCTCTCCCCCTCCTTATTCGCGCCATGATTAAACATTGCTCCAACTTGTTAGTTGAATTAGTGTAATTGCACTTGCCGGACCACCAGCGCCAAAACACCCTCTAGTAAAATCATTATAGCTGTAGTTAAGTAATTTTCTTAGTTCAGGTGATAATGATATCCTCTTACCCGGACGTCTTTAGGGCGTCGTCGCGCGTTTCTCCCCAACGATCGCCCTTTAGCCTTGATTGCATTGTTAGGAGGTGACGTTAAGCCGTTGGCGTTGTCCTCTTCATTCTTCCTTCGCGGTTTATGCAGACGGGATTTAAAAGAAACCACATTGCTCTTTAAGAAGCTAAGCTTGCTTGGCCGACCTCTGTAATCACTTTAATTCCCATGTAAAGTGAGCATAAAACAGTGAGACCATAAATGAACTTAAAGTGGCAGCCGCAAATGCCCTCTTTGCTGAGAGAGATAAATTAAAAAAATAATGTTAAGTGTGTTGTCTACTCCTTCCACTTTCCTTTCCATTTTATTCCCATCAATTTGGTATCGAAGATACGTTTTGTTAATATTGGTTTGTACTTTTCGTTTCCTAGGATACAGGCACATTCATTTGTTAGGCAACAAAGGAGAGTCGCTAGGCTATGCATCTCTATTCGTTCATATCAGTATTTGGGGTGGCTCCAAACCCAACAAGTCCTCCGACAGATCCTCGCTTTCGGTAAGATTGCAATTTGTTGCTGATATTGCTGTTTATCAGGATGTAGTTATTTTGCGGCGATAAACCGATGTTTGTGAGGTAAGCCCGCGCCCGCCCAGCCCTTCGCCCTTCTCCCCCTTTTTCTCTCCTATACGAAAACCGCACGCGAATGAGCGGCTCGAAATCGATCCTTAGTGTAAATGGAAGACCTAAGGACTAAAACCGAGTGTAACCTGTTAAAAAAGAAAGAAAGAATCTAGCTGCACACGAAAGACAACGCGACCCGCCTTTTTAATGTGCCATTGCTCACTCTATATCACACCTTGAGACATCGACCAGTTTGAATAACAGCCACCGATTCTTCGTTAAGACTCGTCGTTATCTATTGTTTTATTCGGTGTAATGGCAAACTGGACGCTGTAAGTACATGTCGCGAAAGATAAAAGGATCCTGGGCGATGTAAGCGCTTAGTCTCCAACTTTTGCAACTAGACAGAAGTGCTCTTCTTGGACTGCACCCAGACATTCAAATTTAAAAACCAGTGACACCTCTTTAATACGGACACCTGAGGGACAAAGCTAGGTGTCCCCATTGCAGAGGTATTTTAGAGGTAAGGAATATTTGAAGTTCGACATCTTTGGGAAAAATAATTGTTTGTATTATAGATATGTTCGTGAGTAGAGGTCCGACGATATGAGTAAGGAATCAAAGCCTTCCCACCTACCCCCCCTCCCCCCTCCACTTCCGCCATCTTCTACGCGGGCTGCGCAGTGCATACAACTTTAATTTAAAAAGTCCCTTAAATCCCCATACTGAAGAGTAATTATCTTTCCATGTTGTTGTTTTTAGGAAGCGGCCTCTCCAAGGATCTCATCCCATTATAATTGATGATTGCAACATTTATTCCAGTCACAAGCGGATGTTTAGCACTGGAGTTTTTAAGCGTCCTGCTGTTTGGTTGCCCGCTGATAGTTCATTTCGAAGATGGTAGCCATTTGAACCGAACAAAGACAACGCAAGCACAAGTGCAATGATAGAAAACCCGCCCAACAATTACTGAAAGGACATGCACCAAAAAAAAACATTTTTGTGGAATCCAATGCAATTCTTGCTAGAAAGAAATGAAATGAAACAAAATAACAAAAGTAAAAACTACATAATATTTAAAATGAATTAAATCCGCAGCGACAATGCCAAAAAGTAGTTTGGTGCGTTGAGAGGAAAATAATTATCATTTAATAACTGTTCCCCGGATATTTTGTGGGTTAAATTTGGTTTAGCTAACATTGGGCCGTTAATAATTCAGTTGAAAGCCAAAACGACGAAGTTACTGAGGGGGAGGTACATGCTACACAAGTGAATGATGATAATAATAAATTAATAAATTGTCATCTGCAAATTTACCTGCGCAATAAGTAGTGATAAGTAAGGCATGCAGGTTGTCAATTAAGGATATTTTACTGAACGATTTTTGTTCCGAATCTGGGGCTTCTTTGTTTATTTTAATTTAGCTGGTTGTATAACCACACAAAAAAGTCCCAGGATCGAATTTTGGACGTATTTGGTTACACTTCTTTATCGTATAATAATAAGAATATGTGAAGGAGTGGTAATCTGATGAAATTGCAAATGATTCATATTTGCACATGATTCTGTATTTCGATGCTAGAATTGCCATTTTTTTATTAATCGTAAGTTAAACCAAAAGCTAAAAAAATAATGTTTTAGACCATAGTTATTAGAGGAGACTGGTTATGAAAAGCGGCAAACATCAATGATAAAAACAACAGTGCTGCAGTTTATGTTCAAAGCACCGTGAAAGTGCACAATCCTTTGTTTTCTGTTGGCAAATTGTAACGGAATAAATTAATGCAACGTTTTTATTGGTCAATACAATCAAAATGATAGGAATTCTTTTGAACGTTGTGCACTTTCAGGTCCACAAAAACATATAACAAAGGAGTCTGGCGGGTTTCATAACCATTCCACTCAATTAACCATGTTTAGACGTAGCTAGGATATGGCAAGATTTTCATATCTGATGTTATAATCTATTTGAGATGTGGAAGTTGTGAAAGGGTAAAAAACTTAAGAGCAAAGTACGGACATTGGTCAGGATGACACTGTATCCTACAGATTTCAACATCAGTAGCAATCCAGCTAAGCATGCAGGGAGTTTTTGACTGAAAATTGGTACGACTACTTGCGCAATTGTAGCCGCCCAACGTACAGAGTCTAATGGTCTACTAAGTACAATCAATGCCACATAGCAATATCCTGCCACCGGAGTACTTCCGTTTTCGTCACAGTTTTTGGAAGAGAATCATGTCTCAACGGCAGTTTTTTTTTTTTTGAACAACTTGAAATTATGGTCTTGTACACTAAATGGCAGCACTAGAATATTTGGAGTAAAGATTCTTTCAATTTTTTTCTGTTTCTATATTTCTGGAACGAAATTGTTTCAAGGCAACATTTTTTGATCGATCATTAATTTTGTATGTAACATTATTAGTTCTTGATAAGTTTATAAGAACAGTACTTTATAGAATGAAATTTGTTTCATTAAAGAGGTGCAATTTTATAAAACAAATGCTCATGGCCTATTGTGTCATTTGTGGATTGTCTATAATTACTTTGTTCGTCTTTGTTAAGGGACGTCAGAAGCCCATCATGGGCTCCTAGGGACGTCGATCCACCATTAGAAAAGTTATGGATTGGCTTTGATAGATTGTGCTAGCATAAAATTGAGCCTGATTCGTCACTACGATACATTTCATTTATTTTATGAGAAAAGCACTGCCAGCTGTAGCTTAATTTGCACTTTTGGCTAGAGATCAGTCAGTCGAGGTGGCTCGACTGGATTTTTTAGGGAGTATACGTCCCCACTTTGAGCGTTTACCACGTCGGAATTAAAAAAGTTATCGGAAAAAGGTGACCACAGCTGCACTATATAAAGATGAAAATTTGTTATGATCCATGTTTTATTGACACCATAGTTACCATGGCAACATAATGACGACATTACGTTTTTTACTTGCTTTTGCATTTCTCGGTGCTAGAAGATTTTTTTTAGAAATCGCTCAAGGGAGCTTTTACCTCCCTTACTTGTCCCGGTTGTGGCAAAGTTTGAACAAATTCTATGAGAGCGTTTTGGAAATAAATTTTCAAGGGTCGTAAAAACAGTGATAAACATTCTATCGACATAATTAGCTAATATCTAAAGAAAATGATGAGGTCTGGAAATGCAGTTTCATCTCATAGTGGTTTGATTCCATCTGAAACTTTGTACGAAGAAAGAGGGGGAATGCTTTGCAGTGGCAGATTGCGAGAAAGAAAGGTTTGATTAGCCTACGTTCGGCTGCTATCTTTACTATTCTTGTAAGTAACTTGGTCCACGCCTACAAACTTCACGGTTATTTAAAAACCGATCGATAAATGTTTTTAAAAACTTGATAGTCCCAGTCTCGAGATTAATGATCAATTTACATTTCCGCTAATGCACCAGTCAATTCCACCTGCGCCCAGCACCCCCCCCGGGCTGACCCCCGGGCATTAGCATTTTTTTTGCCTTGGATGGCAAATTCCCGAGGGTGGGGACTCTTGAGCTGTCAAATCCCCCGGGGTGGGGACGAAAAAAGAGGGCAAACGCCCCGTCCTCCGTCAACGCTGCAACATTTTTCATCGATCGCACAGTCGAATAGTGCCATTTTAAGCATTTTAATGTGTGACTTTTTGTTTCAATTAACGTCTTCCTTTGCAATAGCGCTAGGATTCTAATTAAGACTTCACGCCGCGACGACATGCACTAGTGTATGGTTTTAGTATTGATATAAAATTATTGACATTAAAATTAATAAAACGCTGTAAAGTTATATGTTATGAATAGTTTTATAAATGTGAAAGGATGTTCTTCAAATAATATGAACAGAAATTTGATTCAATGACCACAATCAATAGCTCCAATTTCGCTATGTAATTCTGGCTTGATAAGCAATGAAGAAACGCATTCATAAAATCGAGAACATGCCTTTACAACCCTCTTCAATTTATTCCTGTCCTTGATATATGAGCCAATCTGCTTTTTTTCCAGTAAAACCTTCTGTGTAGTTATATTCTGATAGGAAACCGCGTGCGTGTCAAAACCTCGGGAATGGTCCCGGGGTTGGCGAATTGTCCGGCAAAAGTTGCAAATGCCCCACCCCCGGGACTGACAAGGCGTGCAAATGCCCCTCAGTAGCCGGGGGGGGGGGGGGGAATTGACTGATGCATAAATTTCAAGGACAAAAATAAATACAATATATAATTCGTAATATAAAATAAGTTAATATATTGGTTTACAGGGTGTCCCAAAAGTTCGTTCCTCTACTTTATAAGACTGTGATGTTGTCTGATTGGACTTGGTAAGCAAATCGCTTAAACAAAAGTTGTGTTTCATTATATAATTTAATATTTTATACTTAGTGTGCCATCTTGTGACTCTAATATTCGATTTGTGTACTTCACGCCAAAGGTGCGCGTGTGCGAGTACATTTTCCTGCCACATATTTTTCGTATTCTGTAGCCCAATTTGCTCAAACTCCTTCCTCAAATTGTGTTTTGTGAATATCACGAAAGAAAAAACCCTCTAAACGCAAAAACGTTCAACTACATGAGAGCATAAGCACGTTTACTTCGATTTACCGGCTTATCAGTAGAAATAACTGCTAAAAAACTGGAAAAATCCGAGAGTTGGGTTGGTGAAATGGTCATCGAAAAATGAAGGTAGACAAAAAAAGAAGGGTAAGACTGACAGTCCTGAATAAAACGACTAAAATAGTTTTGAAGAAGGTTAGGTATAAAAGAGACTACTCAGTGAGATAGCTCTCACGATAGTTTGCAAGCCAAGTCTAGAGCAGTTTCATGAAAAGCGAAGGTTAGAGGCCCCAGAGATGACAACAAAACCTCTGCTTAGTCTGCCAAACACGATCAGCTCGTCTCAGATTTGTAATTAAGTAAGTAAGAACTTTATTTTCGCACGATAAAAAGATCAGCATTGCTGGTGGGTCGTGCATACTAACAATTACAAGAAAAATAAGAAGTACTAAAAGCAAATGCACGATTAAAAATTAAAAACTGTTAAAATGTTTAAAATAGGCCCTGAAAATGTACAATTGAAAATTAAAACTGTGAAAAGTAGTCGTAGCTGATATCTCTATTTTTAGAAGTAGCTAAGATTGGTTCGAAATGCATTTTGTCGGTATCAAATTTTACAAGACAGCGTTTAAGGTGGCTAAACACAGTTTTGGCAGTTTGTGATTATATGTCATTTGCCAAATCATGGCAAGAAAAAGGTTGCTGCTTACAAGCTGAAACTTGGCAAGTGAAAAATGTAATGATGAAAGATTTTGATTGACAGGTAAAAACTGACGATTTCCTAGTTTCCATGGCAACATGGACGATTGAATACAACCTTAAAATTTCACATTTTCTCAGTTTACATAAAATTCGCTCATTAGATTTTCCTATAAACTTGCACACAGCTTACTATAATTAATCATTGCCATTTGAAACTTATTTGACCAAATTTTAACAGACGGGTTTTTAGATAATCAATAATTTAATTGAACTGTAATTATTAAATGTTACACAAAATTAGTCTGTTCAACTTCCTTTTTAAAATTCTCATTACTTAAAATACGATAAAAGGAAAAATTCTGCAAAATATCACAAAATTGTAATGAGTAGATTTTGAGAAATCGTCTTCCGTGCACCATTGCTTTTTCTCCGCCATGTTTGTTTGTTTCATTTCTGTTTAATTTAAAACACGCGCCGTCACGTAAGTTACCGTTGACCGCCCGCGAAACTGTGTCCAGCCACCTTAAATTCTTTCAAGGTTTTGGCCCTTGTTTCCTTGTTCGTTAAAGTGTTCCATGCGATTGCTCCTCTAAAGCGTATAGAGTTCCTGATAAAATTTGTTTCACGTCTTGGAAGAATGATGTTCTCATTTCTTCTGCGGCCTGAATTCCTCTGTAAAAACAAATCTTTAAATTCCGTGACGATGTAACCTTTTTAACACTTGAAGACAAACTCCGTTAGTCGCAGTTTGTACATTGTTTCCAGACTATCCCATCCAGTTGGCATTAAGACATCTTCCGCGCTGGTGTCCCATGGCAGCCCATATACAATCCGTCCAGCCCTTGCACGGAGTTTCTCCAGGTTGTTTAGGTGCGTCTTATTGCACGATCCCCACACTGTCAGACCGTATGTAACTGATGGCAGTATCACTTTTATGTAGAAATCTTCTAATTGCTTCTGAGGGAGGAGCCTGATCCAGGAGCCCATAACGCGGAGCGAACAACTTCCATGCGCTCGTGTCACGGTTTTTTCACGGACCAGTTTATTTTTAGAACGGTTTTGGTGCGAATTTTGAATACCGCAAATGCTCGAATTAGCGCCAAGCTTCAAATAAGCGCTCCTCCTAGGGCTCAAAATTTGTAATAAGCGCCCCCTTCAAATAAGCGCCCCCCCCCCGAGAAAAAATGAGTTTCGGTACTCGGTACGATCAGGAGCCCATAACCCGGAGCGTGCAACTGCCATAAATTCGTGCAACGGCGTTTTTACAAGTGAGTTTACTTTTAGATAAGCTTTTCCCGCGAAAAATAACTGTTGTCGCTTGGACCTTTTCACAGTCGGCTGTTTCGAAGATGATTTCAATTTCCCTTTGTGTGAATTATGCGTTGTCGCCGATGAAGTAGACATCCCGGACTCTTCTACGTTTTGCAGATCTTCCTCTGAACTGCTAGTTTCCGTGTAAATACTGAAATTGTCGCCCGAAGTACTGTCAGAAGAATCCTCTGAAGATTCCTCACGTACGTCCGAAATGCTTTTTTTTTGCAATGTGAAGGAGTTGTCCTGGTTACGTATTAAAAGTTTATTATTGATGACGCACTTGCTTGTGATTGGCTTTTCGAAAGCAATTCGCGGGAAAGGCCTATCTAAAAATAAACCTACTTGTGAAAACGCCGTTGCATAGGCGCAGTATGGAAGTTAGACGCTCCGGGTTATGGGCTCCTGGAACGATATACGAGACGTATACGGTCTATACGGTTCTTTTAATGAAATGTGAAATTGTTAAATAGTATAAACAGTGATGTCCTTTCAAAGTCGCATGGGTTTGCTTCTCATTTCTTTGGTAGAAATATCCATATCCATCCTTGAGGACAGCGATACAGAAATTAAAGTTGATTAAGAATCCAAATGCTTGTTCTATTGCAGAAATAAAATACACTTTTTGATGAAAAAGTCTTAAGAACGTTTCGAGTTCGCAAAAAGTAGTTTTCTATAGTTTTTGAATTTTTATGTTGCAGTTTGGTTTTAATGAGAAATAACGATAGTGTCATTTTGAGGCTAAAAATTGATAAACGAAATAAGCGCCCCCCTTCGAATTAGCGCCCCCCTCTCGCCTTAGAAAATTAAATAAGCGCCCCGGGCGCTAATTCGAGCATTTACGGTATCTTTTAAATTCCACGAATCAGTCCGCTAAACCTACAGACCTAACATGATATTTTTTGTTTAGTTTTCCTTTTTAACATCCACGGTGAAGATTCTGTTTTCGCGGGAAAAAATTGGTGATTGAGCTCAGTAATCGGTATCTATTGTTTCCCTGCGTCAATAAATTTATTCTTGCGGTAAACTTTTGCCTCGACCGGGGTCGGCAAATTTTTAGATCCAGAATCCTGACCCCGATCCAGTCCAGAATTTTATTTTTACTTACTGGAGAAGTACGCAAGTAACGCAGGCTCAATCAAAGCAAAAACTCAATTTTTTCTCCCCAAGGAAGGGTGTCATTTTGCCGTTAAGCTTTTACTTTAACAACACTCAATCGATCACTTGCAAACTGTATAAATGGCTGCCGCTAGTATTGCACTAATCACACGTAGGATTGCTCCACAGATTTGTAGGAATCCACTGAATCTACAACGACTTAGAACAGCCTTCCCTCTTTGCACGGCCAGTCGGAAAGCATTCTCCTCGGAGTAAGTTTAAATTTTACGTGCCTTGTAGCATATCTCCGTTGTAATCATTACTTCTGCTTATATTTTTTCTGTGAGTAGGGAATTCGCAAATGGATCCTTCCCCTATGCCTCGAGCGCTGTCGGCGTTTTTTCTCTTTGTGTGATGCGTTATATAACGTACAGTAATTAACGATCGAAGGAAGTCAGATCGTGTAAGAATTTTATTAATAGACAAGCCAGCTTAAGTTTTGTAGCTAACCTTACTACTTGTTTTTCGTCGCTAATTTTGCTGAAAAGCGAAACGCAACGAACAGCAGCTATTGAATAATAACTCATGGCGCTAGTTACATTTGAATTCCTATATTATTTTTTCCTAATCAGCTTTTGAATTTCTGCGGAGCAATATTCTTATCTGTTTACAGAAATCTAGATAAGAAAACTTTTATCAGATTTAACAAAAATGAAAACGGAACTGTGTACATTTTCATCAAGCAATTTGAAAACGCCCTGTGGGTTACATGTATTTTAATTAGGAATCATACTTTGATAAGTCAAGGACGCGATACGTATAATTAAAGGGGCTGATCTCATTTTTGCAGTAATATCAGGCCATATTTTAGGGCCTCTAACCGACTCTTCACTATAACGTCATGTCGGAACCACGGTAATGTTAAGGCTTTTACCAAAAATCAAATGTATTACCAAGAGGGAACAATATGGGACAGAGAGGAAATGTAATGTTAGGGCATTGACCAGGATATGTGAATTTCACCAAAGTTATTTTAAGAGGTTGTGATTATAAACAGAAGCCAGGACGTCTGCACATTTTAATTGATTGTTTGAAATGTCAACAAGTCCACGTGTGACCGCCTCAAAAGCAAATGAGTGCAGAATAGGGAGCTTAAGCAACAACAACGGCAACAGTAGAATGACAAAAAGCAATAGGTTTATAGTAGCAAAACAACAACTTTGCATGTGCATCATGCTTTTTTGTACATTTCTTTGCTGTCATTGCACGACTACAGCGTGAAAGTGCCTAATTTCACGTTTTGTCAAGGACGGGAACACAAGACAACAACTTTCTTTTTCTTTTCCTGAACTTTGATACAGTCCTTTAGAATTCAACTCCAAAAAAATTGCCAACATTAATGACAAATTAACCAAAATAAAATAAGTGCGATAAAGTTTGAGGCGGCACAAATTCACTTTTTAAGTGATATTTTTGTAGCCGTTGCCGCCGTTGTTGCCTAAGCTCCCTAATATTGTAATGGCGACATGCCAAGTGAACATAATATTCTATTAATTTCTTTGACAACATGACACTGAATTTCGGTTTTTTCAGACCTCTCTGGAAACCAATCTGCAATTAATGTCAAATGTCAAATTGATCTTTGGTGAAGTTCACATATCTCAAGCACTAGATCGGACTGGGCGTTTTCCTCTCTGTTCCATTATTACGTCTTGGTATCACTCAAATACAGCTGAACTAGCTTGCGTTTTTGTTGAGGCAAGGTGCATGAGTGGCGAAGCCATGAAATCTGTTGCTCCTGCCCTAATCTCCTCAACCAAAACCGCCATGCTATGCGGGCTACAGTTGAACCTCCATTACCCAGCCACCTATTAAGTGGCCACCCTCTATTAAGCGGTGAGTAATCAAACTCCTGAAACAATATTGCAGAAAAGAATGGGAACTAAAACCTCTGTTTAGCAGCCACCCCTAATTAAGCACCCGTGGCTATCTTTTGGCTAAACCAACAAGAGTTTTCCCATTGTTGTCACCTCTATTAAAGGGGCTGTGTCACGGCAGTCCAGTTTATTTTGCTTAATTTTGCAAACTAGGCACCCTCAATCACTATGGAAATTAAAGTAAGCAAAGAAATTGCAGGTAAATGACAAAAACAGAGATCCGAGACAAACAAATATGTCTCCTGAGCATTATTTTTGAAGTTGCAACCAGCAGGGATCAATTTTGAGAAACTGTTAGGCTGAACAGTTTTCAAAAACCCTAATTTCAATCTGTTTCAATCTTCTTCAGCTCTGCCCATCCAAGGCATCTGTTGTTTCTGATATGTTATTTTAACCTTCCTTTAAAGATTTAAGCAGCTAGTTTCTCTTAATTTAACAGGCATTTTGTAATTTCCTAATTTGGCTGAATTTCATGACACAGCTCCTTTAAGCTGCCATAAAGTGCTTGATACACTTAGATTGACTTTATTTCATGAATATGATAAAGGAATACAGTCTGAGGTAGAAGTTGACGACCAATAATGTGGATCACTAATGTTGCTTCCGTCATGTGTTTGTTACAAAATAAAGTGATGTTTCTGCTAAAGATTATGCTCATGCTAAGCTAATCTATGACAAAACTGTATTGAGTGACCAACCTCCATAAGCAGCCACTTGCCAGAACCCCAAGGGTGGCCGCTTAATGGAAGTTCAACTGTAATTCAATTGCTGGTGTGCCTTTGAAAAAAATTGTGTATTGAAATTTCCAGGTGTCATCTTCACCGGCTCTGAAAAGTCATTTTTGTTTTATCTTTAAGTGTTCTTTATAGCCATTATGATACATTTATTTAACACAACTGTGTCTCTTTTTTATTTCATTTTTATTCATTGCTTCTTCCAGTATAACTCAGATAGGGCAAGCTCAAAGGAAGCAGTCATAAACTAGGCTTGATTTCTGCTGCTCACTTGCCAAGCAAGGGTGAGCATGGAATGGCCCTTTATGTCAGACAAGCAATTTTTGCTACCAAGCCCTGATTTTGTGAACAAAATATTTGATTCTTCACTTTTGCCCTCTTTGTGGGTGGTTATTCTTTCCAACTCTACTGCATTAGGAATTTATTTATGAATGATTTCTCAACTTAAAAATTTCAAAACAAGGCTTGGTAATGAAGTAGAATTTGCTTGTCTGATGTCAACTTTCACAGCCAGGGCATTAAAGTCTATTTTACAGTTACAGGTGGAAATGAGGCTGGAGTTGACCTTGTTTTCATACAACCCTTCCTGCTTTATTATATACCTGCCAATTCTCGTGCATTATGCGTGAGGAACTCTCACGCTTGCGTGAGTAACTCTCCTGCATTATATGTGAGTAACTCTCACGCATTATGCGTGAGTCTCACACCTGTGGACTAAAGACATCAATCTCATGCATCAAGGACAATTTCTCACACCTGACTCACAAATCCAGACAAATTGTTCTTTAACACATGATAAATATTAATGAAAATTCAATCCAAAAAGGCTTTCTTTATTTCCTAACAAAATCAAATCATGCTAAGATTGTTGTCTCTTAAGTAGCTTCAAAAGTGCTCAAACATCTTCGGAACATCTGCTGACAGTTTTGGAAACGTTCTGAAGTCTTTGGAAAGTTGTCAGAAATCTTTGGAAGTCGCCGGGATGTTTCTGGAAATCCCGGTCATGACAAGGTGAAAATCTCACGCATTTGACTCAGAAAAAGTTGGCAGGTATATTATTGTGTAAATCGTGTCATTCTTGTGCAAACTGATATTTTTTAGGCATAATTTCCATACGAAAAGGAAAGAGGTTTGTACCAAAATAAGATCAACCTTAGCCTCACTCATGTTGACTCAAAGGCTAGGAGACTAAGTTCACTTGTAACTGTAAAATGGTCTATTACTGAGCACCTATTACACTTGTAGTGATCAAGTTTACCTCCAAGGTGCCCTCTCACAGCAATCAAATTTAAAAGAGATGTACATGTGTTCCTAAAATTTCACTGGAAATACTGGGAAACAATCTTGTTCCTGCAAAATCATTATGATCATCCAAGAATCTCCAGCCAACACCATATTTTATTGTTCTCTAAATGAGCCATCTGGTATCTTGTGACGTGCCCAAAAAGTTCTGCTCTTTAGGTCGTTGAATAGATCTAGGTGTGTTAAACTCTGTCTGTTTTGCGTGTTTAATTTAAGATTTGAGTTTAAAGGGCCTGTTGCAAGCCTTTTGTACATTCTTTCATTTTTGTACGTTGCGCAATCACATGAAGACTCGTTTTCATGCGATGTTTCAGGAGAACTAAGTACCAGTTACCGAGAAAAGCTTTCACGTGCTGACACTATCAGTCTGTGTTCGTTTCGTCCTTTTTGTCAGCGATTATATAATCCCATCGCAAGTAAGTAAGTTTTACCTGAAAAGCAATGTAATTTTTCGTTGATTACAACGATGATCTTCTTTTTTACAGCCCGATAATGAGCAAAGCGTTCATTCAGAAGCCTGCTCCTGCATTTGCCGGTACGGCGGTGAACCATCATGGAGAATTCATTGACGTAAAATTGTCGGACTACAAAGGTATGAACGAAGGTTTTCTCGATTATACACAGGTTTGCTTCGAAGCGTTGCTTTTGCTCACATTTTGTTATTGTATTTTTACAGGAAAATATCTGGTTTTGTTCTTCTATCCCCTCGATTTGTAAGTACTACATACCGTATTTTATGTCATAACTAATTGTTGAAATTTTACAAGTTGAAGCATTCTTCGTTTAGCTCATCGATGACTTTGACTATCTAAGCGTGTTTATCTTTCTTGTTATTTTATTTACTTTTGGTCCGCTGCGACCGATCCATCTTAGCATTTTAGAATCGCGCAATGGTTTTCAAGTTTTGCACACTCAGCTGCCTTTTATAGTCGGAAACGTTAAACGTTTTTAATATCGACATGGTTGAATGGTAGGCTTATAATCAGATTTTTTACGACGGACGTGCGTTGTATCATCTGAACCCTACAACGGTTGAACCGCGACAATTTTTGCTGGGTCCTCGCCTTCTTCACCTTTCCGTTATTTATGCTCACTATCAACCGAACACCTAGGACATTTCACGGTCGGTAGCAATTTTCTTGGCGGCGAGGCGCTGTGGTTTTCCAGATTGAAGCTTTTAACCGTTTCACTCAGTCTTGTCTTGATGTTCCTTTTATAAACTCTTGAGTCTGTGGATGGAATTCTGTGTTGTGATCGACCATTCACATGACAATTCTTTAGTTCTACTTTCACATAGTCTTATTTGTTTTTCAACATTTTTACAAATTGGAATTTGGAAATTTTGCTTAATTTTGACTTATTGGTGAAAGTTTTTCATAAAAATTGATGTGCTTTCAAAAATCACCTGTCCCTGGCTATCGAGCTGGTTTATTTCAAGATTCTACATCACAATAACTGTAATTAAAGTGCAATTTGTGCGACTTTATTCGTAATGACATTATAAATATTAATAATTTTTATATTGGGCCGCTAAATCTTGTTATGTTTTCTAGGCCTAAGGCCCTTTGCGATGTGTATCTATCTGATCATCTGCTTGATATTTAAGCTTAAGTAAACCTCATTTATCTTGTAAAGTACAATGTAAACTTGGAAATTGAACATGAGAACTTCAGCAGCCGGTAAATGCTCAATTTTCCACTTTTCTTGGCCGAAACGGAAAAAACGGAAATCGAATTCTTTTGTCCATGTAAAGGATCTAGGTGCGATTTTGGGTACATCATTTTTTATTTAAGGTCTTTTTCAGTCATCCTGCTCAGGAAATTGGTGAGTGATTCAAAGAGGTGCTTTTTTGCCTTCTACTTTTCGATTTTCCCCTCTACGGCCTAAAAAAATTGCCTGTTTGTCGTTTGTCTATAAACAATTTTTCTTAGTGTAAAAGAAACCTAATAATTCCTATTTATTTATGATTTTTGTTTTGTTAAAAATACCTGAATATCCTTCTGGAGTTTTGCCCTCTAGCAAATTTTTAATAACCTGTTTTGCATCAAAGGATAAAAACATCAAGAAAATGTTTAGTGTAGCTTCAAGTATAATTTTATCCTCACTTCTTGTACAGGTGCACTGAAGTTTGTTTTTTAGATGAACTAGTAAAGGAATACAGAAGGGTTATTAGGAAAATAGCTTGATTACTGAATATTTTGTTTTGTTTTAAAACCGTTCAATTAAATATGTTTAAGGCAACTAGCCTCAAGCAGATTCACTATTTTGTCTGTCTGCTGAATATATTAATCAGCAAAAAGCTATCCAAGTTATCCCTAAAGTTAATGTATGTATGTATATCTTGCGTTTTGTTTTTTGAGCCCAGAGAAAAAATGCTTAATGTCATACTTTGCTGCCTGTAAAAAAATATTTTGTTGTCCTCTCCTGATGGCGCATTGTGAATGGCAGCCTTCTGAACCAGCTTACTTTACAAACTAAAACCGTTCAATTAAATATGTTTAAGGCAACTAGCCTCAAGCAGATTCACTATTTTGTCTGTCTGCTGAATATTTTAATCAGCAAAAAGCTATCCAAGTTATCCCTAAAGTTAATGTATGTATGTATATCTTGTGTTTTGTTTTTTGAGCCCAGAGAAAAAATGCTTAATGTCATACTTTGCTACCTGTAAAAAAATATTTTGTTGTACTCTCCTGATGGCGCATTGTGAATGGAAGCCTTCTGAACCAGCTGACTTTACAAACTACAGTTGACTCAAACCATCACTAACTCGGACCTCGCACTAACTCGAACCAAAGTCGATTTCCTCCATACATTTACTGTCATTTCGAACCCATGAAAACTGAAACCTCCCAATAACTGGAAGTAATTTTTGTTTCCCTTGAGATCATTCCTTTATAATTTTACCCCCAATAACTTGAACCATGTTTTTAGCGAGTGGCAAGTTGGAAAAGAAAAGATTTATTGAAGTGTGAAACATTAAATTTATTTCAAAACAGCCATGTCAATTCTTTGTCTTTATTTTTTGTCTCTCCAGTTCAATTTCAGTGTCCATCCTTGTATATTAATCAAGCTTTGATGCTTTATTCTGTTTTCAAAATGTCAGTCTTCATTTCTTGCTGCCCTTGAAGTGAAGTGTGCATGATACTTGCATTCCCTCCCTAAACATTTGCTTATTTGTTTATCAATTATATAGCTGTTAGTTAATCCAATATTGTCAGCAAAGCTGTTATCCTTTAATTTTTATGAACTGTCCAATTAAGGGTTAATTTGGATAGTTTCAGGTAGGACTTTCCTTTACAAATAGGCAAACTGTTCAATTTAACAAAAATAGCTGGTCTAAGCCAATGAAATGCCAGAAAATACAATGGGCAATGCAAACTAGCCAATCAGAGCAAAGTCCCAGTGACAACGTGCCCAAAAAAGTTTTGTTGGCTGACAGTGGTTCATTGGCAAACACTCTTGGCTTCTTGTTGCTGTAAAAGTCATTTTGTTTTGCTGCTGTTTTGTTTTGGCTTCTTGTCTGGGCCAGTTAAAAGGAAATGTATGACCAAACTGATGAAAGTTTAATTTGAAACAATCAATGCATAGATTCTTGAAAATGTACAAGCGCTGAAACTTTGGACAAGAATAAGAAAACACTGATACTTGAGTTTAGAAAAAAACAAACAGAAAAAGTCTGTGGAAATCATTTGAGGTAATGAATGAGATGTTTATTTTCAATAGTTCTTGTATTTAAATTAGTGTGTTTTTGTTTCAACTACAAACTGTTCGAGTGTACTATGTTTTGCATCTGTGACAGGCTAAAAAAACTGGATTAACTAACCAGCTATATGATAATTAATATGTAAGAGGACTACATGCTTGTCCAATTTGGAAATAATTGAATTCAAAAAATTCCTCTGGCAGCCAAATTTTGGCTGTCCTTGGAATGTTTTTCATCCAGTTATTTCCAAATTGGACAGCATGTAGTCCTATTACATATACTTACGGTTATTTACTTCGAACTCCCAATAACTCGAACCTTCTTCGATTTCCCTAGAAGGTTCAAGTTATCGGGAGTCCACTGTAGATAAAATATAATATTGTTTCTCAAATTATGGTACTGATTGATCTCATTTCCATTCATAATTTCATTTTTTCTGCTCAGTTGAAGAAATGGCATTTCCCTTGAAGATGAAATTTTGTTTTATATTATCATAATCTTGCAAGAGACATTCTGTCGGATATCACCTGAACATTGATTCTGAAAGGCAGTACACAAATGAGAGTCTTGAAAATTATGTGCAAAGTTTCAAAACATGTTGTTGTGTATCTAAACAGTGACATTTCAAAACAAACATGTGCCCTGTACTTCTACTCCGGTCCTTCCAGCGTAGCAAGTCAAATTTTGGAATGTCTTAGAACAGCTAGCATCATGCAAAATTTTATATTGTAAGCTCCATGGTTTTATTTGTAGTGATAACCTCAACTTCCCTTGCTAGATATTGCACTAAGTCCAGCAATGTACATTTTAAATATTGTTTTCAAGAGATTCAAAAATAATGTCAGACATTGTGTCATTATTGTTATCTTAGATGGATGCCCTTGGATTGAAAAAGTTGTAACTATATGGAAAAAAGGTCTTGTGTAATGTTTATTAAAACCTATGACTCCTGAGCGTGCTTTTACTCACACTTCCAAATAAGGTGTACATTTTCCCCCACAGAAGGCTCTGAAAGTCGCCATATTTTGTCAAATGACACTTTATGTTGCTCATATGAAGTTGTTTATCCTATGATTCAATTTCAATTGGTTTTTCGCCATTTTGGGCTAACTATTTGGCCATATTTCCTCGTTGTTCGAATGATAACCTTTAAAAATGGTGTCAGACACAAATGGGGTTGATCAAACTATATTCAAAGTAAGTACTGGATTTAGCAAGGATTCAGGTTAGGTAAAGATTAGTGCGATTAAATGGACAAAGATACTGGCGTCAATTCAGAGTTTGAGCATGCAGATACACGGTGTGCTGGTCAAGAAAATCAGAGAAAATATCGAAGAAAGAGAGCAAGCGGGTGCTTTGGTGGCCACAAGATGTACATCAATTGTCAACTGTAAGAGTCCGCTTTTGGCAAACAGCTCTTCAAACAAACACTAAGTTAATACATATATATATGTTTTTTGAAACCCTGGTATGTCTACTTTCTAAATATGTATGATTATAGGTACTTTTACCTGACAAGGAACTTTTGAGATGTTATTTAGTGTATGTATGTCAAAACTGAAGCAATAAAAATTCGGGCGTCAATGGGTTAAAGGAGGAACAGCAGTGATTTGTCTCTAGTTAACAATATACACTTAATTTCAGTTCCCGAGGGAAACAGTTAGTTTTGTTTTCCCGAGAGTCCTGATGTTTCCCGAGACGAAGGCGAGGGAAACATCAGGACTCGAGGGAAAACAAAACTACCTGATTTCCCCAGGGACCTGACATTAAGTGTTTTGTTATATTTCTAAACTTTCAACAGTGATAAAAGAATAACCGGAGCGACCCAAAACAAACGACTCGGTACTTATAACAACACAAATAGAATTCTCAAAACCACTGAATAAATGATTTACAAAGTACTTTCCTTGTATTATCTGCATCTTTTTCCTCCACTAGCTGCTGTTTCTCTTCTGCGATAACTTTAAAAATCGTTGCTTTTTAGTTTGAGGCTTCTTGTTTGTGTTTTTGTGTTCATTCACGAAAAAAAAAATGGCAGTGTTTTTCCCGCCTTCTGTCACGCCACTTTCCACCATGCTTTGTTCACGTGCTGTAATGTATCCCGAGCGGGGTACATTGCTGAATGTCTCACGATCGGGATACATTTGATTTTAATCAAGGCCACGTGATCAAGAATCAACCAATAGCAGTCCCTGTTTAGTTGAGTGAAAGTCTAGGAATATAACAATAGGCAATTTGCACTAAGAGGCATGTGACATCGTTCTTATGAAAATGAAAGTTGTATGATTTTGCCTTCCAAAAACGATTAGTGGGTCGCATCTTAAACAAAATAATGGTGATTTGGTTTTTCAAACCCGCACCATTTTCTTAAAATGAATAAGTTTGTAAATGGTCATGTGACTAAAATGTGATTTTTAAAATTATGAATTACCTCTCTCTGAACACAAATTTTGCACTTAAACTTCAAGGAAAATGTTGAAAAGATGATGTGATAACGTTTACAGCACATCTTTGCGTAACTATGAAACGTTGAACAAGATATAAGCAAGAAGTAGTTTTGGCCGCCATGTTGGAGGGCAAGAGTATGCCCTCCAACATGGCGGCCAATACAAATCATACTACTTTACTGAAAAATCAAACTGCCATCAAATATCTCCCTTAAATGCATTTCCTCTCAAATTCGGGTGTAAGATAATTTTGTGTGCTCTAACAATTTTTGGCATCAGCAAGATTCCAACTCATTGTTTAAAGGAAGCATTGGTCATGTGACCTCTTAGTGCAAGTGGCCTATTCAAGTGTGAGGTGCGAGAATTTTTAACCAGCAATAAATCATGTGCTGCGAGTGCTTTAAACAACTTCATAAATAAATGTCCCCAGTGCATTTTTTTCATTTCAATAGGTTTGCTAAACAGTGCATTTTTTATTTTTAATGTCCCCAGTGCCTTTTTTTCATTTCAATAGGTTTGCTAAACAGTGCATTTTTATTTTTAAATGTGACAGTTGATTGAAGAAAGTCAAACAAAAGCGGCAAACATAACAAATGTTTGAAGTACAATACGGTTTTCCAAATTTAAAAAAATTCACAGTTAACCGGCTGCACAAGACGAAAATTGTGCCCAAGTAGAGTGTTCTGACCAGTCAACGGTTTTTTGTTCTTTGAAGGATAAAATTTTTTTAAAAACTTTATCTGGAAGATAAATTTTTCAATTTTTTTACTTTACAATATAAAATTTCATATCTATTGGTACTCTTTATATAAAAGGTCCATCCTAATTGGTATTCCATTGTTTCAGTCATTCAACCTTGTATATCCCCTGAGGCTGAATTCAAATCCCTCCCCTGTCTTTTCAGTTTACAGAGTTTTCAGGGTATAAAGGTCCTTACACGTTATTAAATCCCCCGAGTCAATTGGATAATATGCCTACTGAATATTAATGAGTTTTATAGACTACATATGACATTAAAACATGTTGTTTGTCAATGCATCTGTCTCAATTCCAGTAAAGGTATTCTTATCATTGACAAACGGATGTGCACACTGGATTATGCTAACAGCAATACTGAACTGTTACAATCTGTGTTCTCAATGATCATGCTCAATTCTTCAAAGTCTGCCTATTATCAAAAAAAGTTTTCAAGGGAACCACTATCTAAATCTTGTGAACTTGATCCTCTACCTGCGGTAGTTTTGAAAGGCTGTCTTACTGTATTACTTCCCACCATTACGAGGATCATCAATCTGTCCTTATCAACTGGTGTTGTGCCCGATGCTCTGAAGGTTGCTACACTACTGCCCACATTGAAAGAATCTGATGCTGACTTTTAACAATTCCAAAACTTTCGTCCTATCTCGAACTTAAAAGTAGTATCGAAGCTTGTTGAAAAGGCAGTTGACATACAACTCACAGATCACGTCATGGCGCACCACTTAGATGAGACGTTTCAGTCTGCATATAAGAACTTTCGAACACTCCACCAAGACAGCTTTAGTAAGGGTTCAGAATGACATCCTGAGTGCTATTGACAACAATGAGTCTGTTATACTTCTTTTATTGGATTTGTCAGCTGCCTTCGACACGGTTGATCACTCGATACTGTTATCAAGATTGCATGACCACTTCGGAGTAAACGGTACTGCAGCTGCATGGTTTGAGTCATACCTGACTTCTCGCATGCAGTTTGTTCGGGTCAATGACTGTAGGTCAATGCAATGCTCTCTAGAACGCGGTGTACCCCAAGGATCTGTTCTGGGCCCTCTTCTTTATCTCCTCTATACATCACCCATTGCTGATATCATAAAGTTCCACAAGTTACAGTATCATTTATACGCTGATGATACCCAGCTGTATATATCATTTAGAACTGACTGTAGCTATGATCTCTCTTTGGCTAAGCATCATGTCGAATGCTGTGTAAACGACATTGATTGTTGGATGGTGAACAATGGTCTTAAACTCAACCAGGATAAAACTGAACTTGTTCTCATCAGCTCAAAATTTCGTTGCAGGCCTTCTCTAGAGTTTATCCAAGTGGTTGATGAGAAGATCCAACCCAAACCCTCTGCCTGAAATCTGGGGGGGATTATAGATCAGCAATAATAATAATAATAATAATAATAATCTTTATTTCTTAAGATAAAATCACATATCCTAAGTTACAATATAAACTCAAAAAAACTATTTACATATCATATCTAAAAATTATTCTGTTACTAAAAACATTCTTAAACCTGTCAGTGTAGATTCTAGGGACAGAGACTGACGTATTTCTAAGATTGTACCTCATGTTCTTTTCCTTAGGTAAAAACTGGAAGAACGGGCATTCGGGGTCATTCGATCTTTTTTTGTAGAGTGTCTTGTCCGCCTTCTCTAGCAAATCCCTGATATTTACATTCTTGGACATAAACTTTCTTTTCATACACCAGTCTAAAAAATTCTGTATTACAGAAAGGTCGGAATCTGAGGCACCATAAACCGGCGGAGCGTAAGAAAAATTTGGTAAAACTATTGCGTTAAAAAGGTGATCTACTTCCTCCTGAGACATTCCTTCCTTACGTAAAGATCCTAATATGAATAATGACTTGTTCGCCTTAATTACCTTTGGGCGCACGTGACTACTGTATTTACAATTTTGTTGGAAAGTAACACCTAATATGGATAACTCTGCGCACTGCGGTATGTTACTAACTGGCGTGATGTGCTGACTGAAACCTTTCTTACAGAAAATAAGTGTCTTGATTTAACCGACCATGTTAACAAAATCTGCGTTTCCTGTCAGTATCATTTAAGGAACATAGCTAAGATCAGGAAGTACTTAAGTGAAGGTACCTCTCAAACTTTAGTACGCGCTTTTATTAGCTCTAAACTCGATAACTGTAACTCTTTGTTATATGGTCTTCCTAAACACCTGTTAAATAGGTTAAGACTGATACAAAACACTGCTGCACGCATTGTTACATTATCTAAGTGGTTTGACCATATCACTCCTATCCTGTTCAAACTTCATTGGTTGCCGCTGGGTTATCGCATACATTTTAAAATTTTACTCTTAGTTTACAAATGTCTAAATGGCTTGGCACCAACTTGCCTATCCGAACTTTTTCGCTACACTAATGGTCCACAATTAATTCGTTCTAGTTCCCAGACATACTTATTTAAATTAGCCTACGATGTTTGATTTTAGTAGCTTTATTTAATTTTTATTTTATCTTATAATACTTTTTAACTCTAGTTTCTTACCATATTATTGTACAGCGCTTTGAGCAATTAGTGGATATCGCGCTATATAAGTGTCTATTATGATTATTAAAATAGAATTTATTGTGAAATAGTTACAAGGCCAAAAAATAGTGGACTCAGAAAGAAAACAAAAAACCTCTATGTTATTACATGAAGTGTGCACATGGAAATTTTAAGGTGTGCAAGGCTAGGGTGGAAGAGGTTAAAATAAAAAAAAAATGGAGCATGAACTTTTCAAGCAGATGTTTCATGGTCTCTCTTAAACTTAAGGGAAACCATAAATTACACAATCTAGTAAAAACACTTTTGCTTATTCATAGCACACTACCAGCAGACATTAGTCAGTTAAATACCATGGTGACCAAAACAGTGGCAGCTTGGAGCACTGTTTTCTAATGCTTATTTGTACAAGCAGAATATTATTCATTATCATCAAGTCCATTCTGTGATGTTTAACCAAACCATTTAAAGTGTAAACTAACTGTAGCACAGTGACCATTGTTTTATTGTATGTGTCCATCTCACTGTCTTGCCACAGTCTCTTTAGGCCTTGGAACTACTTACATCTGTTTGTTATCTGCATTTGTTTCTTTTTTTAGCACATTTGTTTGTCCAACGGAGATCATTGCCTTTAGTGACAGAGTTGAAGAATTCCGTGCCATTAATTGCGAGGTTATTGCTTGTTCTGTTGATTCACACTTTAGCCATCTTGCTTGGTAAGCCCTCATTTTTATTTTTTAATTTATTGTGTTCTGTGCCAGTTCAGTGTTAATGTACTGGTCTGTCTCCATTTCTGTTAAGTGTTAGTTGGGAGTACATGTACACACATTTAAGATTATGGTAATAGTACTGAGTATAGCCTGCTTTGCAGATGTAATCTAATCCTGGTTAGTATCATCTCAAAAGCAGCACCGGTATCTCAGGGTTTAAGCCAGCTTGATTGCCTCAGGAGACAGTTTGTCCGTCTGTGGCCCTTGCAAAGGGACAAATAGGCAACAGCAGGGGACAGGAAATATTTTATTACATTGCCCTTCTCCTATCCAAAAAGTGAAAAGGCACAGTTTTTTCAATTTTTTTTATAGTGAGGAAAAGCCAGCAGGCTTGGAATAAGCCACAGTGTGTATTCTCCCTGGAGATATCACATCTTTTGATCTTGTATCGATTGATATATACATATGTCTGTGAAAAGTTAAAACATTATTTTGAGGAAACTTGCTGAAAAAAATTTATGGTAAGTGTTGAGTAAAACATGTCGATACTGTCAATAGAAATTATGAAAGGAAAGATGGCTATAATGGAGCAGTAAACAAAGTTCATAATGTGACCACTCAAGTAACAAAGCAAGTGGCTAGGCTGGCAACAAAATTGTTTTGGGATGGCCACCTGGCTAAAATTTTTCTCTAAACAGGTAGCTCCAGCCGTTCGTACAGGCTAACAATAATAATTATTGTTTTTTTTTTTTGCACGGATAGCTCGAGCTGTTCAATTGGCTGCAATTTTGTTTCAAAGGCGTAGCCAGAACCGTTTGCAAAGGTGACACTTTTTTTTAATGGATAACTTCAGCTCGTTCGAACAGATACCCAATCCATTGAACGGCTGATGAACAGCATACAAATGGCTATCCTTTCCAAAATGGCAAACCATAAAGAGCATTTTCGTGTGAGAGGTCACATTTTTCATATTGCTGTCTCTTGTTTTAGGACTGAGAAACCACGTAAGAAGGGTGGCCTTGGGACAATGAATATTCCTCTTCTGTCTGATATCACAAAGCAAATTTCCAAGGACTATGGTGTTTTGTTAGAAGACCAGGGTGTGGCACTCAGGTTAGAAGATTTTGAAATGCTTGTACATATCCTTACTCATCTGACTTATCTGTAAAAATGAATTATGCGTCAGGGACAATTCACTGCTTGCCCAAGCCAAAAGTGTAAAAGCCCCTAAGGAACTGTGAGCCTTTTCCTCTCTAGACTCAGGAAACTCAATTAGAAACTTAGACACTTAGTTGAGCTTCATGGTGAACAAATTTATTGATAAATCAAGCTTCACTAAAGCCTGTTTCTCATATGCTGCTGATGCACCTGCGACATGGCCACTGGTACTACCTGGGATACTGTTCTGATATGAGAACAGAAGTGGTTAGTAATGGTTCTCCTCCCAGTCTTTACTGCTGGCTTGCCTGCGAAGTTGACTTGAGTTAAACTTTGCAGGCATGCCGGTGGTAAAGCTCTGCAATGGCTCAAGTTGCCGGCGGTGCATGTTCTCATTTGTCGAAGAAGTAGCCTAGGCAGCACCAGCGGCTACAATGCAGGTGTATTGGCGGCATATGAGAACCAGGCTTAAGTGTGATAAAAATTAATTTGGTTGTACATGTAGTAATATTTGTTTACCTACCACAGAGGTTTATTTATCATTGATGACAAGGGCATCCTACGTCAGATCACCATGAATGACTTGCCAGTGGGAAGGTCAGTTGATGAGGTTCTGCGTTTGGTTCAAGCTTTTCAATTTACAGATAAACATGGAGAAGGTAGGGAGCTGCCAACATTTTTGTATGTCTGTACTTATTATATACGGTAATATTCTTAGTTACTGCTGCATGTTGAGCTACAATATACTCGTCACATTAATTGTTCAATGCTCAGTGTTGGTTTTTGTGAGTTTGCATGCATCACAGAAGCAAAAAATTCAACACCGGGAGGGAAGGACCACAATGTTTTGTTGCAATATTGGTGCTGCACCGGGTGTCCCAACTTAATGTTAGAAGGATTGTAGCTGGTTTTTGTGGAAATTTTGCAGGAAAAAAGTATGAGAAATAATCTTAATGTTGGTCTTCTGCAAGTTTTGCTGTTTCCAGACCATTCCGCATCAGACTGCTAGTAGTCTTTTTGGGGGTCCAAAAAAAAAACACTTGAATTTCACTCATTTTGCTTGCCCTTGTTCACTTCTTAGTTAGTGATTTATTCGTAAGATGGCTTCACCTGGTGCCCTTCCCTTAAAACAAATGCCGAGTGAGCTTTATTATTGCCCAGCCTGGAAATCCACTTGTCCCAGATTGTAAGACAAAACCATTTCAGAGTCCTGCCTTTTTGTTAACCCTTTAAGCCCTAAAAGTGATCAGCATCAAATTTCTCCTTGTAATGTCAATGCTTCGTAAAGCAGAGTGATTATGAGAATTGCAGACATGATCACACAAGATGAATATGCTTGATATTTTATCAACTTCTCCCCACTATTTCTGTAGGGATTGAATAGTGGCAACGAATGAGAATTCAAATTTTGATTTTAGGGTTTAAATGGTTGATGGAGTCAATTCTTGGCAGAACTGAAGAGAGAGTAGCCTCTTTGGTTTGTCATGCAATCCTCCCCAACAAACGTCGGGAAAGAATGCATGACAAAGCCCTATAAGAACGTGTGCATGGGAGGCTAGAGAGAAAGTAAACAAGCCAAGACAATAACTGGAGTGGGCACCTCCCCTGTTTGTTTTGTTCAGTCACATGTAACAAGCTTGCCCTTGTGACAAACCTGAATGGGCTGCTACTGTAGCAGTCTAATCCAACATCCCCTATCTACTGGAAACGTGAAATTGGAAACATTCCTGACCATCTGGGATGGTGGTAGCATTCACTTCTACACTGTACCTTCCAAACTTCTTCCAAATATCAGTCACAAAAAAATAATTATGGTCAGCAATTTTAACGCGTTGATGAATTCCCGGCATGGGTATAAGTTTAAAAGCAACAGATTTAAATAAGCTGCTCGTATTAATTTATGGAGTGTGGTGAACCATGGGTGAGGGGAAAAACTACATGTTACTGTACAGTCATGTATGCTCTTTTTAGAACCAGAATAGAAGTCCTTAAATATAGCCATAAAAATTTTCAGTATCATTTCATGCTTTTTTTCCAAACTTTGTCCAGCGTAATAGACCACTTCCGAGTTCCATAAGCCCTCACTTTCAAAGAGGCCAAGTCCACTACCTTTCTTGTGAAAATGAGTTTTATTTGCATGAGAATTAAAAATCATCTCCACATCAAAGGCTGAGCACTTAACCTCGTTTTGATACGGAGGCCCGGGGGGACTCGGAAATGGCCAATTATTATCATTTTTGATGACATTTTCTCTGCAATAAATTTCAGTTTGTCCTGCTGGTTGGCGCCCAGGAAATGATACAGTAAGTATTAACCCCTTTGTCATTAGTAGCAAAAGAAAACCTCCCTTTTCTCTCTCCCATGAATTTCTTTTAGTACGGAGAAGAAACATGTTACTGCAGGATCGAAGAAACTTGATAACAAAGGCTAACCTTTACATTTACATTTTACATGTATTGGGTCGGTAAAATCGTTAAGATATCACACCAACTGTAAAAATGAAAACAAAAAAATAAAAAAATGAAATAACTAAATGAATAAAATACAGATTTATTAATATATGAAATAATGATATAAAAGTTAAATATAGAAAACTGTATAAACTATATTATAACTAGTATTTAAGAAAAGCTGATCACCTGTATTTAAAAGTTTCTCAGGAGGTTGATGAAACAATGGCCTCAGGGAGGCAGTTCCAGTCTGCTATAGTTTTTGGAACAAACCAAAATTTAAAAACGTCTTTATTTGCATATGGCGCGCGAAATTTAAATTATAATTGATGGCTTCCCCTCGTGCGACTCTTGAAGTGTTGAATTAAAACCGTGAGTTAGTTTATACACAGGTGTTAACCTACACTTGTAAATTGCACTTGTAGACGTTTTACTTAATTGGCCTCAGGTTTTCTTGTTGCTCTAGCTTGTGAGCATAAAGATGCGCAAAGACTAAAGGTTTAGGTGCATCTGATAAGCTACATGTATGCCTTTTAAATGGATTGTGATCGCTTGTATAAAAATGACCACAAGTAGGTAAAATTATTTAATAATTTAATAATGCCATGAAGTTCCTTCTCCCTCATCCCTGTCAAGTGTGGCTCCATGTAACAGCTATTCTTGCTAATTTTTAATTTCAGATTGTTCCAGATGCTAAGAAAAGTGCAGATTACTTCTCTAAACAGTCATAGAAAACTATTTTAAATCTTCTTTTGTAATAGTTTCGTCTGGTTCCATTTATCCTCTTTAATTTACTTATAAATTTCTATCGGGACATTTTTATGATGCTATAACATTGCTGTATTTAACTCAATAATAATTTTCAGTGCTAGGGTGTGTTTGCTTCAGTTATGAGGCTTAAGAATTGTGTGTTTGTTTGTTGTTGTTTTTTTTTTTCTACTTCTGTCCCTCTTTTTTTCCATTTTAACGACAAAACGATTGTGCGAGTTGTAGTAACTCTGATATCTGCTTGTTCACTTAGTTCTTTTGACATCCTCAGTTCATTAATATACACTGTATTGTATTTACGAATCACTTCTTAAATTGTAGGCAGCATTATTCTTTTCTGCTTTTATAAATTCGGTTCTTGTTTTTCCGTGTTAATGTGCAGTGCTAGGAACAAAAAGTAATAAAAACATTTTCTAAAGCAGTAATAAAGTATTTTATAAAGTGCCTAAATATACACTTACATTAATACAACGGTGTATTTGTTGTATGTAAGATTCGTTTTCAGGTTAATTGACTTTGGGCTAGCTTTTTTGTTCGAAAACCCTGGTAACTTGTGTTGAATACCTCTTTAACCTGAGCACAGATTTAACCTACAACAAGGATACCTGGGGCACCTGTTGTGAATCATTTATACCATGGTGCAAGTGTACCCATTAAAGAACAAAAAGCAGTTAACGTGAGTAAGGATTCAGTGACAAGCAGCAAGAAAGCAATTGGTATCAGTATAGCCTGATCTCAGCTGCTTTCCATTTATGTTGAGCGAAGCGAGACACGAGAAAAGTGGTGAACGATCGGCGGAAGCGCGAGGGGCGCCCGGGCACTCGCGTCTCCTTTCGCGTGCTGCTCTCACGTGACTTTTTGCGACTCCCTCAAATAGAAGGCTAGTATAAGCAAAGCACTTTGTCCTCTCGATATGAATTACGTCTGTAACATATGTGGCCACTTGAGGAACGAGTAGGGTGCTGGGAATGAGTAATTCAAATCAATAGATGAACTTCATGGAGGAGGCAGCGTGACTGAGTGGTTAGAGCGCCAGATTTGCAATGCGGGGCCCCGAGTTCAAGTCCCGCCCTGACCGCTAGCTGGATTTGTTCACAGTAGTCCCGAGTTCAAATCCTCGACCACGCTTATAAATAGCCAGCTGGTTTGCCTTCGGCCAGTTGGGATTCTTAACCCTGTTATGTTTGATTTGAATTATTTGTTTCTGTCATTTGCTCGGCTCCACTAGCATAAGTGCTATAAATACTGCCGAGGGTAAATACAGGAATTATTATTATTATTATTATTATTATTATTATTATTATTATTATTATTATTATTTGATCGGAGGACAACACACGTGTCCTCTGCACATGTCAACGGTAAGCTTGGTCGTCTGTGTTACCAGGGCGTCACTTTGGAGCCCTTCCCCCCCCAAAAAATTGTAATTTCAATAACTTCGAAACCGTTCAAGGTCTCACCGCCAAAATTCAACCAAACTAATGCTATGGTGGATGTCCTTGTTGGATACAGCAAGATGCTGTGAGAGCAACTTTCCACCGCGCTCGGGAAAAAAAAACTACTGCAATAAATAGTGTGAGCGAGCAGGCAAGAGACTGCATTTAGAAATAATTAAGCGTGTGGTAGAATGATATAAAAGTCTAGTAGGTTCATTCATTCTGTTTTAGATTATGTGTACAATCGTGTGTAGATAGTGTTTGCTATCCATAGTATAGTATATAGTTGCTTTCCATGCCATTGGTTACTTTAAATGATGAAAGGAGTTTAGCACTGCCCTTTCTTATACCCTAAGAACTTCAAACTTGCAAACAACAGACAATAGTCCAAAATGAAAGGAAGAAAAGAAAAGGAACCTCGTTAAATAACTCGCGTTCCCTTCGCGACGGCAAAAAAAAAAAATACCTCGAGCCATCGTTGTGATTTTGAAGTGTCCTGTGTGATTTTTTATCTCATTGCGTGACCGCGATCGGTTTAGCCACCCACGCTGACGTTCCCAGGGGTTTGTCACGCGTTCCTGCACCACGAGGAAACGCATGGAACTTGTGGGAGGCTACGATCGAGTTTGATTGTTGAATTTCAACAGATTTGTTCAGAGTACTGCATGCAGTTGACAGTGTGAACGTTAAACAAGAATTAGGATTTAAGAGTAAAGCAATTCTGTACCATGTAGACATTTCCGGACGTTTAATTGGCAAAGGAGTAGTGACGTCACTGGATGGCAATAACGGCCGGTCGATTCAGACGTTACTGACGGAGTAAGCGACTGGAATTCAGGCTAAAACAGATCGGCACTCTCCCAGAGTCGTCCCCAGGGTCTTGTCCCTTTCTAATATGGCGTATTGGAAAGTGGACGGGAAGACCTTAGATAACAATGACCTCAACCAGGTTGTGGCGTCCAGCGGTTTTAGTGAAAACAAGGCTTTGTTTGGGGTGCTCAGTCTCGCGGGCTCATAAAACCTGGTCTCGGTCATTCTTATTTAGGATTTTCCTGGGGACGATTTTTATTCACGAGTTGAGTGGTATCAGAAAACGAACGGGTGAGTCTTCTGATAAGTATTATTAAGAGAGTGAATAAAAATCGTACAAAGCATTTCCCATGCTGTAATTTGTTTATTTCATAGGTACTGAGAGTTTTTTCGTGTAATTTGGTAAACAAATTGCCAAATGGGACCACTATTTCTAAGTCCTTTAAATTTGAATTTTCCGCTGTTAACGGCCACTCAACTCGAATTTAACCTAGTTTCTGCAGCAAATGTCATAATAACTGCTACTTGACGTCTTCACAGTTAGGGACGGACCATTAGAAAAGTTATGGTGGGGTTGGGGAATTTTCGAGCCCCGGGAATTTTTTTTCGTTATCAAATTCCTTGTATGAATTTTTTTTAGGCCATAGCGTGAATATTTTTTAGGATTAATTGGCGTGCATGAATTTTTTTCTTTTAATTTTCCCTTGCACGAATATGTTTTTTGTACTTCGCCCTCCCCCCCCCCGCCATAAGTTTTCTAATGGTCCGTCCCTTACCTCGTTTGGACATCAGCGCGCCGTTTATCTAACCAGGCTGTATTGTGAAATCTGCATACCTCACTTCCGGTTGACGTGCGTCCCTCAAAAAAGACCTTTACTTAAAGGGGCTCTGTCACGAAATTTTTCAAACTACAAACAGAAAATTATTTACTTTTAGGAGTTATTCATATTTAAAAAGAAAGTGCATTTATAGTAGTTAAAAGGGATTCAAAGCTCTAAACTAAATTTGTGTAAGGGGTACGGCCATTTGTCAATGAAAGGTATACGAAAGGGGTACCTTTCTGTCAACAAATGGTATATAACAAGGGTAGGGGGTTCGACCCCTAGGGGTGGCCTCCCTATATAAAACTTTCTTGAGTATCCCCCGGGGCTATTTCAGATCTGCACATTGGCAAAGGCGCACCTCAACCGTAAGTAAATGTATTGCTTTCTTGGACATTTACTGGACAATTGGTTTGACTAAATGTTTGGGCAAAACGTCTCTATAAGAGAAAAGCCACTAAGGGATACAAACTTAATTAGCGTTAAGACACATCACATACGAAATGCCTCTCTACCTATCATTACTGAGTGAGATAAAGATAAAAAATGTCTTCGACGAAACTGCTCATAGGAGAGACAGAGATGACTTGCTTCTTGTTAAACGTATTTTGTGAGAGTCGAGATAAGCTCGATCTACGGGTCGAGTCAAATCACATGATGCTGATCTTGTTAAACGAATTTGGTTTTCCACCTTTTGCGGCATCTGTAGCGTATCTTTCCCTGAGCCAAATACATCGTTATGTTTGACGTCGCCGAATCTTGCTGCATCAGTTACAACAGACGGCTTTTCCTTGGGTCTCCTACTCTTCAAAATATCGAGCACGGCGTTCCTAAAACGGCGATCTCTGTAGCAGTAAATGAGTGGATTAGCTACAGAATTTAGATACAAAAATATGTCCTCTACACGCATCGCCAAACGTTGACGAAAGAATAGATAAATTCCTTGCAACATACCGCCAAGAATACTTGGCAAGAAGGAAAGAATCAGGGTAATCGTAACGACGGCAGCGGTCATAGCTATTCTACGTTCCTGTTTTACTTTCACTAACTCGCTGACTTGGCGAATTTGACTTATTTTGCGTTTGCGAACTCCAAGGTACACCATGACATAAAAATATACGATAAGACTTAGGGCAGACATTAGCAAAAGTGACAGAGGAATGAGGAAAATTTCCAGAGCTATAACCGCCTCATTCGCCCTCATCATTCCTTTGAGTGCCGTGATAAAGTTTGGTGGAGATACAGTTACTATTGCTAATACCCAAGCTATTATCGCCAGCTTTTTCATAAGGCTTTTAGTCACCATCACTTTGTAGTCAATCCATTTTCGAATGGCCACGTATCTTTCCCAAGCAATCACTGTCAGATGGAAAATCGAACAAATCGCGAGAGTGATCGTGGACGATATGGCTACAAAGTCCAACATGCAAATGTAATGGTCAGCCAGTACTTGATGAGGAACTAACAGTTTAACCACAGCAGACAACGGGATACATAAACTTCCTACTAGAAGATCTGTAACAGCCAAACTTGTTAGCAAGATATTGGAAGTTCTCTGCAGTTCTTTTCTTTGCTTTACTGCTATGATTATTAACGCGTTCAAAAGAACTGCAGCTGGAGAGACTATTGATGCGAAAGCGGCAAAAACCCAGGGAGAAGTAGTGTCATGTGAATCCCAAACTAAGTGTGGTTCGTGAGGGCAATAAAACACTGACCTGGTACTGTCAGGAAATATGCTCGCTCTCTCTGTTTCGTTTGGGCCCATGGTAAACCCTTTTTCATCTATCTCAGTATTTTCTAGGATGGTGCCGAACGCCTTCCTCCGAGTTATGAGGGTTACTCAGCTAATTTAAGGAAGACGGACATGGTATTGTAAAATTGCGGTTGTATTACGATGAGTGTTGGTATCAAAATAATTTGGCATTAAGATTTAGTTTTTATAATTACCGACTCAAAAAGCCTGCAAACAATTGCTATAAGCTATAAGGAAGAAAAGCAGGAAAAAGCCGAAATTTTTTGCTGAGTAAAGTTATTGTTTTAGTCCGGTACCATACTCCGCGAAAGCTGAATTAGACATTGTGGTAACTGATTATCGTCCGATTTTAGGGGTGTAAGGTGTATAGGTATAATCCGCAATCGAGCTAAGTGGCCCATCGAGCCGGAGCTTAATTAAGCCGATTTCTTTAACATGAAACCACATTTCCGCTCAATTTCCTGATCCTTCATTTTAGTTTTTTTTATTCATGCAAATTCACAACCTTCAGTACTTACTCTAATTAACAACCGAAAATTACAATTTGCGTTCTGTCATTTGCGCTATTTTTAAAATATCCGCTGAAATTAAGTCAGGGTAATAAGCGTGATGATGTACGAGGTGCACGTATATTTTGGAAACTTGGTAACTGACAATTAATCTGAAGATCAATGAGATTAACTAAAAAGCACTAATATAAAGAATCATATTCAAGTGCTAGTAAAGGAAATAGTAAAAACCTAGAAACTGTGGGATCTTTTCTAAATTAAAAAAAATGCGACCAACGCCTTTACTTCTTTAGAATTCAATCAGCACTGGAAACGCCAGTTGAGCAATTGTAATATATTTAACGACACCAATATTCATGCTCAGTTGTGGAAAAATGATTGATCAGCAGACCAAGCCAAGCTGTCCCAGCTTGGCTTAGGGATAGTTAATAAATACGACCAACGCAATTTTCTGGGTGGGAGGGTGAATGGCTCCGCTGAGAACTAAGCAAGAATCAATGATTTCCACGCGAAGCTGGCTGCCGATCGCTCGACATACCTACATGTAGCGCCTGGCCCGTGCGACAAAAGAATTCTCAGGATTGCTAAAGTTTCAGTCACAAAAAGTACATGATTCATAAAATCAAGAAAAAATATGAAGCAAATGCAGAATAAAAGGCCACTATGACTCGGGAAAACCTCGTCGAAAGGCTTTCCAAAAATTTAAGCCTAAGATATATCTATGCATCCAATGCAAAATAAGCTTACATAAGTGAATCAGTGAATATTTTCGCAAACGTTTAAATAGGCTACTGTTATGATACCTGCGAAAGGTCATGCGTATTTATCGGTGAGATAATCGCAGATAAACCTCCGCGAACAGCCAAGATAAACATGGCGAACAGCTGAACTTCATGTTCTTTGCGTGTAAGAACGCACGAAATGACTCCAAGGTTTGCTGCCCTTTGATTGGGCAGAAAAACACAAAAGTTTTCTGGCACCAATCAGAAGCCAGAACGGCCGCTGCCGTTTGGAACTGTTCTGGTAAGACACTGGGCGCGATCCATTCAACCAAAATTCAGACCGGTCCGACCGGGAAAAGAGGACCACCTAAAAGGTGGACCCATTTTTTCGAAACTTGTCCGGTTGGACCGAACCGATCCATTGAGTTTTGGACCGAAATTTCCGGAAATTTTGGTTGAATGGATCGCGCCCATTGTCCCCAGGGCCCAGGGGCTCTTCACCCCGTTCTTTACTTTTCTTCGCGCCATTTTTTCCCGCCCGTTTAGTCTTTCCCTTGCCCCCCCCAACAATCTGCCCCTGGGTCTCCGAGGATGCGGGTTACCCCACCTTGAAACGTTTACAAGGCAAATTGTGATCATGACTGGGAGGGTTACCCATTCTGGCAGACCGGGCTACCCACCTTGGCGGGTCACTCCACCTATCATGAACCCTGGTTTCCAGTGGATATTTTTTTCTTCTCGATACTGATGGTTCGTTTATTTCACATTAGGTATTTTGAGAACGGACCTCTGGAGCCAGGGTACCCATCATGTAAACGTGATGAAATTAAAATGAGAGATTATATGGGCATGTGGGTTACCCCACCCACCTGGGGTTCCCCACTCCCATGTAAACAGGCCCTAAACCTATTGCTTTTTTTGCCTTTCTCGTTGCCGTCCCCGTCGTCGTTGCTTAAGCTCCCTATTGTTGTGATCAGAACTTTTGCTACCATGGTAACCTGAGGTCATATTTCTCCTCTCTAGATCTATGGTGGAGGGATTGTGTGTGTGGAGGGCGTGCATCATAGGATATCACAATGAATTCACCTCTTTAGTGGGTATTTTCCTTGTACCTCTGTATAGAGAGGAGCCTTCACGGGGGGCTTTTTTTGCATAATAAATTTGGGTTCTGTTTGTCTGTTTGGGGGGCTCATTTTGGATTTTTTAAATATACTTAGATTGACTTCTGTCTTCCGGCTGCCGGTTTACCACGGCTTTATTCAATGGTTGCTTCTTCTGAACACAGATATATTTTGGAAAAGTGTTAAGTCGTTGCAAGGGAGCATAAAGAGTGTGTTTCATTATCCTCTCTCAGGTTGGTGGGATAACGGAACACACGTAACTGAGTTGAGAAAGTACCTGGTAAAAAAATTGAGAAGCTCATCAAGTGCGATCAGTAGTGTTTGAACGTCAGTTTCTGTATCTCTCTTTCATTTGGCAATTCACGTTTGAACTGAACTTTATGTGTTTTTGGGCACAGTTTGAGTTTTTATAGTTGTCATACACAATGCATTATGCACTCTTGTGTTTGCCATTTACTTGTTTGATGCATTTAGTATTGAGATTGTTTTGACTGAATTTGAACTAACTTAGTAGAAGCATAATTTTTGCAGTTTTGCCAAAATCAGCATAACTGACATAAACTAGCATAATTATTGACATATATTATCGTCCTTTTGCCTCAGAAGTGATACTTTGAGCGATTTTCAAGGATTTTGAGTTCGTCGAATTTACCGCGAAGGTAAGGTAACACAACATTTATTTAGCTTTGATACATCAGCACATATTTAGCGATGTACCGCTACAGATGAAGCAAACGGTAAATACAGTACATTTACCATAAAATTTCATCGGTCACACAAGTTTGTTTTGGGCTCCCTGCGGTAAGATTTTTCTCCCGCTCAACAGTTTGGGGAAATCAAGTTTCGTTACGCCGTTACCCCGTTACGGGTTTACTAACAACTCTAGATCAGAAATTACTTCTAAACCGGTCAAAATTACGACAAAAGAAAGATAATGGCTCAGTCAATTCCAAGCGTGCTCTTCCCCCCCGGACATTTGTCATTTTGTTTTGGAAAAGCTGCAAATGCCCCACGTTGGGGCTAGGCGTTCATACAAAAACCCCACTGTGGGGCTTTAAAATAGGGTGCAAATGCCCTACCCCGGGACAACACCAAAATTTCATTTTTCAGTAAATAAACTGCAAATACAAAATTTATGGGAAATCTGTAATAATCTGATTAAATTCGCTCGTGAAGCACCCTACGAAAATCATTCCTAGCCGCTCGATATAATTATTGCAAAAAAGATCACACTGATCAGATTTTAGATATCAAATGCAGAACTATAAACTAGAATTTTAATAATACCTTTCTTATTTTCAAAGATGTTTAATATAGCAAATGATAAACAAACAACCGACGAGCTTAACTGAGATGAATACCCTCTTATCACGATGGAACCGTTTCGTCAGCGTATTAATTATCGTATTGTACAATACACTAAGTTTATATAAACTTTTATATATCTCACAGAGCTTTTCTAGGCCTTTCTGCCTCTTTCATTCACGCACAAAGCAAGTGTCTTTTCTTAAAACTCCTCAAAGTCTTCGACCTGGCCAATACCAGTCTTCACCAGGTTTACCAATACCTGGTATTGGCCACTCGAAATATTGTATACCTCAGCCTTTTTGACGTTGTTTGATCAGTCTTTGCAGTAGTCTTTTTGACTTTAATTCTATTTTTAAGCCATTTGAAAAGAAAGTGCGTTTACAGTAGTTAAAAGGGATGCAAAGCTCTAAACTAAATTTGTGTAAGGGGTACTGCCATTTGTCAATGAAAGGTATACGAAAGGGGTACGATTTCTGTCAATAAATGGTATATAAAAAGGTAAGGGGTTCGACCCCTAGGGGGAGCCTCCCCGTATAAAACTTTCTTGAGTATCCCCCCGGGGCTATTTGAGATCTGCATATTGGCAAAGGCGCACCTCAACCGTAAGTAGATGTCTTGCCATTCCTGGACATTTGGTTTCAAATTTTACCCCGCGAGTTTCCACTGGAACATTCTAGCGAGTATCTATCTACTTGGATCTTTTACCTGAATTCTCATCCAAATCCTTTCAATTCACGGCCATTTTAAATTACGCAATATTAAACTACATGTATTAATGATTAAACTCACACACTGAGCTTGGGCCGCCTGTCATTTGGGTAAAGATAAAATGAAAATTTAAATATCTTTGAAGAACCCGCTCATGGGAGAGACAGAGATGACTTGGTTCTCGTTAAGAGTATTTTGTGAGAGTCGATATAAGCTCGATCTACGGGTCGAGTCAAATCACATGATGCTGATCTTGTTAAACGTACTTGGTTTTTCACCTTTTGCATCTGTAGCGTATCTTTCCCTGAGCCAAATACATCGTTATGTTTGACGTCGCCGAATCTTGCTGCATCAGTTACAACAGACGGCTTTTCTTTGGGTCTCCTACTCTTCAAAATCTCGAGCACGGCGTTCCTAAAACGGCGATCTCTGTAGCAGTAAATGAGTGGATTAGCTACAGAATTTAGATACAAAAATATGTCCGCTACACGCATCGCCAAACGTTGACGAAATACGGGATAAATTCCTTGCAACAAACATACCGCCAAGAATACTTGGCATGAAGCAAAGAATCAGGGCAATCGTAACGACGGCAGCGGTCATAGCTATTCTGCGTTCCTGTTTTACGCTCACCAACTCGCTGACTTGAAGAATTTGACTTAATTTGCGTTTGCGAACTCCAAGGTACACCATGACATAAAAATATACGATAAGACTTAGGGCAGATATTAGCAAAACTGAAAGGACAATGAGGAAAATTTCCAGAGCTAAAACCCCTTCATTCGCCCTCATCACTCCTGTGAGCGGTGCCGTGATAAATTGTGGTGATACAGTTACAATTGCTAATACCCAAGCTACTATCGCCAGCTTTTTCATACGGCCTTTAGTCACCATCACTTTGTAGTCAATCCATTTTCTAATGGCCACGTACCTTTCCCAAGCAATCATTGTCAGATGGAAAAACGAACAAATCGTGAGAAAGACCGTGCACGATATGGCTACAAAGTCCAACACGCAAATGTAATGGTCAGCCAGTACTTGATGAGTGACTAACAGTTCAACCACGGCAGATAACGGTATACTTAAACTTCCTACTAGAACATCTGTAACGGCCAAACTTGATAACAAGATATTGGAAGCTCTCTGCAGTTCTTTTCTTTGCTTTACTGCAATGATTATTAGCGCGTTCAAAAGAACCGCAAGTGGAGAGACTATAGATGCGACAGCGGCCAAAACCCAGGGAGAAGTAGTGTCATGTAAATCCCAAACTAAGTGTGGATCATGTGGGCAATAAAACACTGACCTGGTACTGTTAGGAAATATGGTCGCTCTTTCTGTTTCGTTTGGGCCCATGATAAACGCTTTTTCGTCTGTCTCAGTATTTTCTAGGATGGTGCTGAACGCCTTCCGCCCGAGTTTTGAGGGTTACTCAGCTAATTTAAGGAAGACGGACATGGTATTTTAAAATTGCAGTTGTATTACGATAAGTGTTGGTATCAAAATAATTTGGCATTAAGATTTAGTTTTTATAATTACCGACTCAAAAAGCCTGCAAACAATTGCTATAAGCTATAAGGAAGAAAAGCAGGATTACGCCAAAATTTTTTGCTGAGTAAGATTTTTGTTTTTGTTTTAGTCCGGTACCATACTCTGCGAAAGCTGAATTAGTCATTGTAGTAACTGATTATTGTCCGATTTAAGGGGTGTAAGATAAGGTATAGTCCGCATTCGAACTAAGTGGTCGATCAATCCGGAGCTTAAGCCGGTTTCTGTAGCATGAAGCCACATTTCCGCTCATTTCTTTCTCCTTTATTTTCGTTCTTTTTATCTAGGCAAATTCATCTTTACCACTTATTCTAATTAACCGGCGAAAATTACATTTTGTGTTCTGCATGTAGTTTGGGCTGTTTTTAAATATCCGCTGAAATTAAGTCAGGATAATAAGGGTAATGATGTAGTGCATGCATATTTTAGACACTTTGGTAAATGACAATTAATCTGAAGGTTAATGAGATTAACTAAAAAGCACTTAAAGAATAATATTCAGGTCGTAGTAAAGGATTTAGTCTGGGAAATAGTAAAAAACGAGAAAGTGTGGGATGTTTTGTAAATTTAAAAAAAATGCCACCAGCGCCTTTCAGTACTTCTTTAGAATTCAATCAGCATTCGGCTGGCTAAATCCATATATTAGCTTATGACCGTGAACCTCCCCCCACCCCGCTTCGAGGGCTAGCTCCGGGCCGTTTGGATGGATTTTCGATTGGGAGGTACGAGAAGAATGGTGAATCTTTTGACCTTTATGCTGCGAAGTTTGAAAGCGGAGCGATGCCATTTTGGTGGGAAAATCGCTCCGGCGCTGGAACCCTTTCAAAACAAGGATTCCTCCCTTGTCCTTCTATTATATGGAACAGTCAACAGCGAACTCAAATGCATTCAAAATCGCTCAAAAAACCGCTTTTGAGGCAAAAGGACGACTATACACCACAGGCAAGGTAATTCAACGTTCATTTATCATTGATTTATATACATAGTTAGCGATATATCGCTATAGGTGAAGCAAACGGTAAATCCAGTACATTTACTATAAAATAACAATCGGCTACAGAAACAGATTGTGTGGGCCCCCTGTGCTATTATTTAAATAACAATACAAAGGAAAAGACCGGTAAGGTAGATGAGTTTTACTGACTGTTTTTGAGAAGTCTCCCAACGGCTTGTTTAATACTCACTAGAAGAAAGAAAAGAGAAATCATGCTGCTTGTGTGCTTGTTATCTGTTGTTTTCCTACAAATGCCTGTCACACAGGCTATGCCTTATCAATGAATCTTCATGGGGGTTATATGCTTGACCTGGCTTGACTGTTAAAGAGTTGATGTTTCATTTCACTATAGCTCCTGCATGCCTTCTTGACCCTGAGCTTGGTGAACACTATTTCCTAAGAACAGCATCAAATATCGTGATCCATTATGTTGCTAAAGGAGACACAGGGCAACCACTTATGCTGTGTATACTTCCCTGAGGTAATGTACACGTGTTTCTACTGTTTTGTTATTTTTACTTTCATTGCTGCAGATGTGTTTGTAAACCAAAGCCATTAAAAAGTTTAAATCATCCTGCCATCTGGATCTAGAAGTACAAGTGTTTGTTATTTAAACATGAAATTTTATTGACAAAGTTTACCATACCGGCACTAAGAGAAAAAAAAACTCATTGAAAGGACTCACTCTGCAATATCTTTAAATAAAAAAAATAGAATAGAAGTAGTAATTAGTCAAAGTAGCAGCAAAACGAAGATATTTAAGGAATGCTAACAGCCTAGTGGAACAAAGATAAAATTTATAGGTATTTTAAAATCTCTTCAATTCAGATATAAAAAGACTGGACTTGACAAAATAAATCATTATTTTGCTCCGGAGACAGTTATAATTTTGTGCTGTAGCCACAGAAGACCACCTGTTATTAAGGGCTAACAAGGGTAAACACGCAAATAATTGATGATTGCTTCGCAAGAGACATGCAGCCCATCTGATAGGGTGTGATAAAAAATCAGGAATTGTGCGGCATTTTCAAGGTAGATTGTGCAATAAGATAGGACTATTATGTTATAAATAATGCGATTTTTTCAGGGCTAATTAACATTGTTTTACCAGGTTTCAAAGGAGAAAAGTCACTTTAATGTTGTTTAACACTGGCAATTTGAATGTAAAAGCATAGTAAAACATCTGTTTTAAAACAAATGAGTTAAATTTGTCTATTTATCTTGACAGGGAAAAGAAAACAAACAGAAAGAAGGAAAAAAGACACTTGTTTAATATTACATGATGCCATTACACCGCTGACCACACTGCTTGTCTCTGAAATCAAAATGGCTGCCCAGATTGAATTCAGCATTTTTTTAACAAGTTATGCGATTTTCCTCAAATTGTGTGATTGGATGCGATTTGAGGTCAATTGTGCGAAATCCCACCGTGGCGTAATATCAGATGGCCTGGACATGAAAATATAAATGTTCAAGATTTAATCCAGTTCCACTAGTCTACCTGTAAGTATATTTTATATCTTATTGGCAGATGTAGAGTCATTTTTCATGCAAATACTGTTAATAAATTATTATTATTATTATTATTATTAATACAAAGAAGTTAAATACATAGACTGTAAAATAAATGTCGCTAGTGCGGATATCTGAAATACGTGTCTATATGCTTTTATACTTAGGGCTTTTTATGGACACTGGTTTAGCCGTCATCAGTATAATTCGATTGTATGATCTTAATATCTCTGCATATAGAGTGGAATTCTTTATTTTATAGAATTTTTTGAACTTTTATTATTAATTATATCTATTTCCTCTTCTTTTATGTAAGGTTGAGTCACTTCTATTTTTTAGAATTTGTAACTGAATAGTTTCTTTCTTCACTTATTATATATAGGATTGTTTTTGTTCTCTAATGAAGGCCGAGGGGTTTCTTTTGTAACGGATGGAATTGTGGATAGTGTTTTGGTGAATTAATTAGATTTTTTGTAAAAGCAGGTTGATTGTAAATAGGATTTTAATTGAGGTTTTGTAATAAAGATTTTAATAGTTAAATATATAATAATGGGTAACTTATGCAGGGTAATAATGGTAATATTATGCAGGCATTGAGAACCACTGACCCTTTTTTCTGTTTTAAATAAAATCACTTTGCAGTTTTGGTATTCCTGGCAATCATATCAGCTGAAAGCTTTTAGTGATAATTTCAGGATGGGTGCTGTGGATTTGAGATAGTGTAAAAAGTATATTGTGATTTTTAATTGCAAGTAGCCATGTGCGGCTGCTAATACATACCTGAGTAATTAAGTTACACAACAAAAATGAATTAGCAACAAAATGTGGGATTTTTGTCAAGTAACTTATTTTTGGCATCCTTGAGACTGGCAGAAATTATAGCTCAGTCACCTGGTAATTAAATTCAAAACTGTTGAATATGCCCATCCCCCATCCCATTCTCAGCTGAGTTTATTTTGAATTTATGAAAAACAAAACTAAAGAATTTTTAAAAAGCTAAATATTACAGCATTATTTTGTGTTTAAGGGCTATGCTGAAAGTGACAGTCCCAAAGGGCAAGAACACTACAAGACATCATTATTGGTTAATAACATTAAAGAAATTGGAAGTGCACTTACATGTATACTGAAACCGCAGATTGAAAGACGAAAATACAAAAATTGTTAATCTTCTATATGCACCTCGTAAACTGGGTCATAAAATATTTTGTAGATTCAAAGGACACTTTTAAATTAAACAGCATAGTCTAGAAGGTTTTGTAAAAAGATCACAAATACAAAAAAAAAGACAAACAAAACAAAAAATAAATAAATAAAAAAGAATAATAAAATTTTTTCTTCAATGTCTCTACAGTTTTGAGTACATTGTCCAATCCAGAAATAAGGGCTATAATATTTCATATTATATAGCCGGCTCACATACTCATCTAAACCATTTGTATA